GTCTGAATCCCGATGTCCACTTCCATCCTTGTCTGAATCTTATCCATTCCATGAGGTAAAGATGTTCAATTCCCTCCATTACGACTCCATTTATGACCTGAACCCCATTGACAAACAACATGTATGTTTAGGTTTTTAAAAAGCACTGTACAGTTTATCGATGTTACAATAAAAGTTAGTGACTTAGGTTCCTATTGATTAAGTTTGGATTTTGTCAGATTTGGATTGGATTTGGCATTTGTTACTGGTTTCAAATCAGATTCAGCCTAAGTCACAAAGGTCATGTGGATTGGATGAAACAGAACTGAGGTTGTAAGATTTGGATCCGATTTGAATTTTCACCTGAAGATCTTGGATCAGAGTGACCTCTCATTTGATTTGACACACATGTTTTGTACGAAGTTTATAAAGTAGCAGGCTCACACTTTAACAGTGAGCTGCGTGTAAAAGCTGTTGGTTCACTTACTGAAATGAAATGTAGACTTTCCTTAGTTGGGTATAAACCATTGCTGTTATGAGCTTATTTCTCTTCTTTCTTTGCTTCCTTCATATATACAGGGTGTGATTATGCCATCCTGCCCCATGAGATGTCAAAAGGCACTGATTAATTAATCATAAAGGACCAATTTATTTTTTCAATTGTTTGGAATAGTTCATATGGCTGGGATCATGTCACCCAAGGATTGGTACAGCTTGGCTTTACTCTTATGGATGCTTTTGGGCCTAGAGCAGGACCTCTTGGCAAATCAACAGGTAGGTCATTTGTTAGTTCAAAGTCATTACATGTACCTGCAATGGACACTGGATTTTATATACTTGTACAAGTACCCCTCTATACAGGCATAAATTATGTATTTTCACGGTCAGTAATTTAGCAATAATAAGTTTATCTTAAGTATAATGGAGGTCAAGGAACTACTATAATAATGCATTTCAGTTCATACATGTAGAGAGTGACCAGGTTACAAGTTGATTCTGAAATCCACTACAATGTTCATAAAAAAGGATTATTTAATTGACTTTGAAATAGCTTTTATTAGAGATCAGAGCAATTCCATGGTGACTCGCATTCCATTTTCCTGCCTGGGAGCTACATGTACCGATACCTTGGCAGATCTGAGGAGGGGAAAACCTGGGCCATCCATTGCCCCTCCCAGGACCGTTGTCTTCAATCAGAGAATGGTCATTGTTTGTGCGGGAGAATTCGGTTCCATCCCACGTAAAAGTCATGAAATTTTAATACTTCAGTTCACAGAAAGGCTATAAACAACATCTGTTTCCCTTCTCAAATTGGAATGTTTAAGGAGTTCTCTTTCCTTAATTTTTTTAGCAATGCCAGGCCTTGAATATTGTAACTGTGCCTGCACCATTAAAATATAACCTGAGCTCTTATCTTTTGTTACAAAACAGTGTGCATGTAAAAATTCAGCTTTTTTAAACCTCTAGTATACTGTATTTTCATTGGCCCATAACAATCGTGACCGGGAAATGCAAATGCATATTACCCTCACTGTTGGATATCACACATTACCGGTTGTGATGTCATGTTCACATCGTGATATCATAGAGAAATCCATGCTACACAGAACAATCATGTGATTGGGCTACATGCACATGTAGAGTATGCAAATGCATATTACCCTCACTATTGGATATCACACATTAGTGATGCCATGTTCACATCATTACATGTACATGTATATTACAGACTAGCTCACACGCTACAGTCCAAACTGCAATGCAGAAACCTCTAAAACCAGACTTTGCATTGTACCTCTGTTAGTTTCACATACAGACGGTATACTGATTACATCAAGGGGTGTAGTAAAACTGGCCTGTTGATGTGATGCAATGAATGGAGCATTTTGTTCCTTTTAAAAAGCCAAGGGTAAAAGGAATGCTCCATGGATCACCAACAAAGGCTATGGTTAGTTTTATTGTAACAAAAAAGCAGTCAATATTTATTTCCTTTCCCGCAGATTCTGCTTAGTTTAAAAGTACATGCACCGGGAATTTCAATTTTCAATTTCAAGCAACAGTTATTTTGATAGTGCAAATGTAACAATCAGGTCATATGAATGTATACAAATTAATCAAGGATATAAAAGAATACAAATAAATACGATAATAACTAAGATGACATTATGCACTACAGAGGCATAATCAAAAGCCAGGGGGCTTGTACTGAAATGCCTTGAGAGAAGACAGACAGACAGACAGACAATAGGAATTTGTTATTCACTTTGTGTTTCATTACATGGACTTGCTTCATTTTTGAGTTAACTGCTTTGAGAAGAATCAAGAAAAATAATTTTCATTTTTAACACTCAAACAGTAGCTCATGTACATGTACATGTAATTTGTCTCGCAAAAATCTGTGTGCCACAGAATGTTCCTGAGAGCCTAGATAATGCACAGGTGAGGTCGATCTGCAGACCGGTTGTGGCCCTCAAAAATGTAGGTTTTCCATAGCTCTGTGTTTCCTCCAACAATGCAACGCTGGAAATTTGTCAAGTAAACATTTCATCATGCAGTGAAGTGATTGCAGTCACCACATTGCAACCAAATACGTACACATGCATGATCAATCCACGCTTTTCATACATACACTGTACATGTACACAGTGAAAAAGCTGATTGTTCGGTGGCATGCAGCTCTACTCAAGCGTCCACATTCCCGTTGCCTCTTTTCAAAGTGGGGACTATTGTGAAGCTGGTGATTATGATGCAAATTCGGTCTTTTCATTTCTGGACTACACACAAAAGCCAATCACCATATATAGAAGAGTCAGGGTATGCCTTCTTTCACCGTGTTCGCTCGAACGTGGGCCGAGAATAATAGCTGAAAAGCGGGCTGAGGATCTCAATTTTTACACGGCTCTACCCGCGTCCTGGCGAAGATTTACACAATGTCAGCATTTGGGGGGTCATACAATCTCCTTTTCCAAAAGATACTGTGGGGGAACTTTTAATACTAATGAGCTGGCCAGAAATTCACACTTGAATTAGTGGACTGCACCCTTTATATTCATGTACACCTACTTTTGACTGTTTGGCATGAATGTTTGAGAATGTATCAAAATCTCCATTCCAGAGAAAAAAAGTGAGAAAAAAAAATTGTGCAATGGCTGTATGTACGAAGAAAATGCTTAAGGTCAGCAATAGCTTTGTACACAACAAACTACTACAGACATGTGCCTGTACTTACTGCTAGTGCAAACTCATTCTGCAGTCAGCATCTGAAAATCACCCTTTTACACAGAAGTACCGATAGCTTCAACTAGCTTTCCTATCAATAAGTGAGGGTTGCCCCCTTTGGCCAGACACTGCAAACAACAGAGTCCAAGTGCACAAGGACATTCAACTTCAGCCATGCTTTGAATTGACATGAAAGCTTGACCGTAGAAGTTGCCCCAGTTGACAGGCTCCAGCCCAAGAGTTGAAAACCTGAGCCTGAAATAGGGCACTTCCAGCAGAGGTGAAACAAATCACTAAGGAGAGCATTTGGGGACCTTTTAGTCACCTGGGCATTTCCATGGCTTGATGTGTGCAGGCTATACTTGACCATCCAAGATCCAATATTGAACCCCCCCTTAGGGTGAGCCTCTGTTAGGGTTAAGCTCTGTTAAGGTAAAAGCCAGTTGGAATCCATCTTTCCTAGGCTTCATTCAGTCCATCCTCAAAAACTGCTTTTTCCGAAGTCTGCTTGCAGCCATTTTTCAAGTGGCAACCCTCAACTTTCTCCGGCACTTAAGACCATTTTCAACCGTATTTATGTAGCCATTCTGCTCCCAGATGAAAGCCCAAAGACCCAGGGAGTTGATCCTGGCAACGATTTACACAATTTCACTCCATTTTTGGAGCCTGCATCTCCTTTTCAAAAGATACTGTGGGGCACTTTTAATGCGTATGAGCTGGCCAGAAATACTCACTTAAATTAATAGACTGCACCCTTCAGTCATCAGAGTCTTAGATCAGAATGATTCCAAGAATGAAGGCCACCGCACAACCCTGAAGTGTCCCACAGGGAGTTGCCTCATCTCCTTATACATATGCCCAACAGCTGTTTCATGTAGAAATGGGATACCTCGCATGAAACAGTAGTCACTGTATGACAGAATAAAAACATGCAAATGGGGGAGAGGTACATGTAATGGGGGGGGTCCCAATACTGCAACAAAGTGAATGTGAGAACGTGTGCCAGTTGCTGAATTTAGGTGCAGTTTAGAACATGCCTGAGCAACGGTTTATCTGAAATCAAAATCATAGAATATTGTTTTTCTCTGAATATAAGGTATTCACTGAGCTGAAACTTCATCAGGATGGTTCTAGCTTTGACTCCCTTGTTTAGATTTTCTAGTAAATTTGTTGCATCAAAGGAACATAATGGGCAAATGATACATGTAATTGATGAAATTCTCAAGTCAAATTTTTATCAACCTTGCTTCTGTGACTCATCACTTTCACTCTGAAATTTTCAAATTGATGGGCACATCTACAGTATATTAAATGCAGTTCAGTTTTTTATCAAGCGTGAAGTTTGATTCTTGGTGTGGTTCAATTATGTGAAAGTGTTGATAATGCGCATTCATTCTCTGAGTGTTTCATTTTGATTCGCTTTTCATGCAGAGCACCAAACTTGTACTGACAGTCCCAACCATCAGGCATGTTCGTTGGGCTGTCAGATCCTTCTCAGTACCTTCAAGGCTCATGAAATGGTACGCCCAGACATCTTGGAGCAACTTCTGAACCGTATTGTTACAAAGAGTTCTGCACCAGTCTCTCATTACATCGGTAAGTCTTCATAAATCAGGGGAGGGAAATCTCTGATTTTAGCAGATTTACGCTTTTTTACTGAGTGTGTCAGATTTTATTGGGTATGATTGCCAGTCTAGCTCAGTTATTAATGCAGGCATTTACTATGTTTACCAACTAGCAGTGTGTATGACACTTGTCTTGGGGTGACATACTTAAAGTTTAAGTGAGAGCTAGATTGAGAAGAAGGGTTTTTAATGGGGGGGATGGCTGGCTCACACCACAAATCTCAATTTTCACACAGTTTTTATATACCAGCTGTTCATTTCAGACAGTTTCAAGCCAGTAGGAATACAAAAGTTACCTAAAAACATGTATCAATGCAAGATTACATGTAATCATGTAATTCAAAATTTTGTTCAGGACCCCTGGGCCCCATGCTATACGTGCTTTGCGCTTTGCACTTGCACTTTGCACTGGCATTTGTTGTGCTTCACTCACACCCCAAATCAGTGAATGACCAGTTTGTAGCTCTATGGCTTAATTTTTTGTAATTTGGGTGCTTTGAATGAATAGCAGCAGTGCTAAGAATTAAGACTAACAAATTCAACTGGGATTTACATATAAGCAGAGCACTCAAAATCTAGAGTACGGTGCTTGGGAAGTGTCCAGTATCCTTGCCATCCACTCATTAAAACTGCCTTTAAGATGAGTTTTGGTTGCCAAAATTCATGTATTCCGAACAAGGTTATAAAGAATGCAACATATTTGTATTGTTTTGTACTTGTATTGCACTTTATGGGAAAACATCCTTCAGTATCCTGAATGATCTGTTAGTAGGTTGCACAATGAAAAACAACTGTTGCTTCCCTAGGTGTCCTAGTCTAGGGCCATAATGTTACCATATTATATTCATGCAAATTATCTCCATTGTCAACCTCTATAAAATCAACCAGAAGGGGCTTCAACTGATGACAGTTCTGTGGTAAAATCTTGGATAACTTCTTTTAAAGTTTGGGACCAGATTGTGGAAATTATGGAAAAGATACACGATATGTAACAGTCATATCACATGAGTGGCAATCAGTGGTAATTATGCCAATTGTCATCTGTAGTATATTGAACGACTTTGGCTCATCAAATTACAACATGGTTTCCTGGGATGCTTTTGATTGACCACACACACACTAAACATCACTCACAAAGTGGAGCCGTGAGCCTGCCAAACTTTCCCAAAGTCATTTTGAATTGTATAATCAGCACATGAAAAGTGCCCACAATCACTGTGCTGTTTAACATTTGCATGCACATCATGCTAAGAAATTGATGAGAGCATCGCCAAGGAGTCCCTAACAATACATGAAAACATCTTGACTGACACAAATAAGGATGCATATAGTGGGAAAAATTGTACTATTTTCAACTTTTCCATCTGCATCAAGTCCTGAGGATAGGCCCATAGACATTTGCACTGTGGCACATTACTGTAGGTTCAACTGATGTCGCCCTTGTTTCAGCACTAAGCATTTGCCTCTTTATCTATGTCTGAATTGCAAGTGAAAGCATAAAACTGCTGATCAAAAAACCACAAGCAGAGTTTATATAAAAGCTTACCAGTTAATAGCTTGAATATGAACATGTATGGTATGAACACCTAAATGTTACATCAGCATTTTACATTAACATTTTTTGAATTTCAGAAGCCATGTTGTTTTCTGTTTTGGTCGATTGATGTCATTAACCTTGCATAAATAATTTACAATTGAGTTCAAACTCAATTACTGATGGGATCCCTCAAAAATTCTTCCCACATTTGCCAAAAATGAAGAAAAAGGTAAGCGTTGCTGAAGAAAGCATCCAAGACCTTGTGGGGTCAAGAGTGAGTGTAATACAACTCCTGGTGCTGTGATTATGCAAAGCGTTTGGATATTCAATCATCAACCAAAGATTTGAATAGTTTTTGCCGGTTCAAATATTTAATTAAAATGTAACACAGACTGACGAAAACATCACGTTGCATTTTGATCGTAAAGAGTTTGCTACATTTTTGTAAGCGGTTACAAAATGTGTCTTGTTCTGTTTACACTTCCCTGCAGGTCTTCTTGCCAACACAGTGAACTCTGCTCCACAGATTCTTCTGGACTCTCTACCCAAGGTGCGAGAAGCATTTGACTACCTGGCATTCCTACCTCCATCCTCGGCAGAAGGTCTCTTGAAAGCTGTGCAACCATTAATGATACTCAGTGTGTCTCTGAAAGATTCTCTTATGTTGGTACTGCGGAAGGCAATGTTTTCAAGGTCAGTCTCAGTCTAAAGCTGTGCCAAATACTCAATTGATTATCAAATTTCAATTTTTTTTTTCAAATTGGAATATTTGAATGCAGAATGCATTAAAACGAAGGGAGAAAAGTCATTGTTTTGTAAACAAAAATCACATTCTATGGGGTTAAGGTGATTCAAGACTCTTTTTGGCATCAGATATGCCCAACAGCAAAATAGAGACTCTAGATAGGATTCAGAAATAGATTATAGTCTGTTATTATTATGAAATAAATTAGGATGGAATGCTCATTGCCATATTGTAACTGGAAATGGAATGACTGGAGGTCTGAAGAGGAAGATACATGTAGCTACATCGGATGAAATGGAGAATAGGACATGTAAGGTGTCTCTCAGTGACCACCCATTGTGCCATGGGAGACTTTTTTGGTCTAACAATATTTTTTTTCCTATTAGAATAATTCTATGTCATATTGTTATCACAAATTGTTACTAAAATGAAAACAGTGCTGAAAACAACAATGAGCAATCAGTGCAGTCACAAAACAAGGAAAGTTCCACTGATCTCAATCAACTGTAGCAACAGCAACATGGACAACAACTACAGGGAGTTTAGTGGAAATTGGGGAGGGTCATCTTAACCATATTCAAAGTGATTTAGCTTTGTGTTTGCAGGTCTAGAGTGATTGATTTGTGTCCAAAATAACGGAAGTCAAATTGCAAAATGAAGCAAAGTTTCCCATGAGTTTTTGCTTCACTCCTCACTTAAAAAATTGCCGGCCTGCAGTACGGCCGCACAGGTTCCCACTGCTAAATTGGGACTATAATAGATAGGGCAAAAACAATTCTTTATGACAGGAGTAACATTGATACATGTACATGAATGAAGTCAGCAATGTTAAGTTGGCAAAGATTGTTGGAAACCATCAAAACTAGCAAAAATATTGCTGAGGATTTCCTGGAGCAGTTCTTTGGTACAATATGACAAAGCAAGTTTATCCACATCAGAATCACCCTCATTGTTTACACCATAGTATTGGCAGGTCTACGTGGCCGCCCAAAGTTACAGTTGCATGCACGCACATGTATGTGTAGCCACAAATTCTATGGATCTTGCCATGTTTTGACAATTGTTCCTTCACAAGTAAGAATTTCATGAACTTTTGAGTCATTATCATCACTCCTGAATATGCTTGCGCTGCATGTCACTGGACAGGCGGAATATCTGTTGCAATATTGTAATCATTGTAACCAATCATACGTTTAGTCTGAAACTTAGAAATGAAGCAAAAAGTATTTTCCAATTTGAGTCCACTCTAGTCATTGTATATGTGTTACAAAAGTCATATGGTTTAAATTTAATTCCATCAGTCCATCAGTCAGAGTGTAAGAATCAAAAGTGGTTTTTTGTCTGTACTAAATTAGTTTGGTGTTACAAAATACCATTAATTGCTGTACCCCTTTATGGCATGTTGTACACGATACAGTAGTTTGTTACTCATAATTTGGTCGTAGGGATTATTTTCACGGGGTGCGTATTTGCATACTAAAAGATCTTTGTTATGATGAAATGGCACAAAGAAAAGTACGTCTGCATGATAATTTTTACAACTCAAAATTGAAGAAGCCACTATGTACTCCTCAATGTTTCAGTTCCCCAATACAGAGATAATTGCAATGGGCACACTCCTTAAGAGAAAGGAAGGCTCAGTGCTATCAGTGATAATGTAAATATGTACACTCTTGGAAGGAAATGTGGTCTTCATTCGGTCTAAGAAACTTGTTTTCATGTTTGTGGCTGGTCATGCTGTACTGGTCTACAGGCTATTTTCTGAATGTGTATTTGACTTTGAATAGTATAACGGTTTACAGGAAATCAAAAGTGCTGCCTCTTTAGAGAAACTCATGTTTGCTTTGTTTTACAGGCAAGTTGATGCTCGTAAAATTGCTGTATCTGGATATCTACTGATTCTAAAAAGTTTTCAAGTAGATAAGTGCTTACAATCCTGTCAGCTGTCAAGCCAGTCCTACATGTCATCATCAAGTCAGGTAAGATGTCAAATGCCAGAAGAAATAGTTATCAAGTAGCCATGTCAAAATGTTTGTATTTACTGGAATGGTATAGATACTTTTGTATCTTTTTACCAGAAAAAATTGCCCATATATTTGGTTCATATCCCCCCAATAACATCTACTTATGCATATTTCTTTTTTGCCATTGGACCATTCACTAAATTTAATCAACTGCAATGCACCCTTAGTCTGTGCTTTTTGCCATGATGCTTTGCAGTCTCTTTTTCTTAGCATCAGATCTACATGTAACTGACTTGTATCTTTACGCTCTCAAATTCTTTGTTTCCATTTATCACTGAGTATTACCATGTTATCTACAATAATTGATCAAGTGCATACCCTAGCATAAAAACTTTACAGAATCAAGTGGCACTGTTCAGTTGCTCTGTTTGGGAATTGGTAAGAGTAAAATAGGTTTTTGACGTTACTTGTCAGTTATTTTTATCTGTTTGGTATTAGATTTACATCGTTCATTGCCATGTAGGTTTCCTGTGTTCAACCACATAGCAGGCTAGTCTTGCCAGCTGTTTTTGTGGGGGGTGGTTAAAGCAGTCCCCTTTGTTTCCATTGCTTGTTTTTTCATTTAGCTTTGAGAAGAGAAGAAGGAATAGGAACAAATAAATTGGTGCATTTCTTTCTAGTGTGACATTTACAAATCAACCAAACAAGTCATCAGTACTGGACATATGATCAACCTGCTGTCCAGCCTATCAGCTGCAGTTTCTGGCAAGGTCAATATACAAAATCAAGCAGGTGCTCATGGGCCTAACATGGGCTTGTAGCACAAATGGTTTTGCCCACTGGCTTTCATTGGGCAGCTCACAGGAGAAGAAATCACACCTTCCTAGGGCCATGCCTAGTACCTAGGTACCCACAATTCAACCACTGATTATGGATACCCAGTTCCATTTGTCAATTTTGTTACCTGAAACTGCCTCTGTAAATATCAACACAACATTTCAGAAAGGCATGCACCCTTTTCCTTTGCTTACTTGGCAATAAGTTGTTGGAAAAATCTGAGTAAAATATGTTTTGAGTCTATTTAACAACAATTGAGATTGTTGATTTTATTTGTTTTTGTCAGTAGAAAAGAAACTTTAACCCTTTACTGCTGACTACGAATATACTCGTAGTAACAGATGTACTGTAAATTGAATATACAGTAACACTGGCATCACTAAAGAATACAACAAATATGCTACTGGCAGTGTTCAGGACGTACGTCTGTGAAGTGCTCATGTTCAGATAGACACCTGAAAGGTACATGTACCTTTTAAATTGTGCGCATGTGTACAATGCTTGGCAAATGGAAATGCCCTCTGAAATTATGGGCGACAGTCGAAGTGTTAAGTAACAACGTAAAATCTTAGAAAAAAGAGTTCATTAACAAAACTATACTCAGTTTACAAAGAAAAGGGAAATAATTTTTAAAAAATGTACCACCATGGAGCGAGTTGATTTCGATTATATATTTCATGTGAAGGCCTGGTATGAATCCATGACCCAGGAACTTTTGTTACATGTAACTTGAAATCTTTTTAATCCATCCCCATTGAGGTTCGAGTTGTCAAGAGTTTACTGTATTTTATTTCACACTAGAAACGTAGTCTATAAAGTTTAAGTTGCAAAGTAATCAGTGCATTTTAAGTTCCTGAAGGCTCTCCAGTGAGCATGCCAGTGTAGCACTTGATCCAGCAGTTTGGCAGCCAGAGTGGGTGGGGACGCCATGGAAACTACTCGACTGCCATGTTATGATTTTATGTTGATAATGATTACAGGTACCCACCTGTTAAGCCTGGTTGCCACATGATTGAAGTGAATGGAAGAGACAGTGCAGAACGTCATTTCACCAAAAAATTAAAACAAAATGGCATCTGAAAATCTGTGATTTGACTGTACTGCCTCATGATACCAAACTTGTACTCCAGTTACATGCAGTTCATTGATGGTCAGCTATTTAGTTGATCATAAGAGTGTAATATTTTAGCATTAAAGAGAAAATGGGCAAAATTCATGGAACTGAGGGAGAGAAAAATCGTTTTGGGCTGGTCATGCCAGCATGGCTGGTTTGTGTGTGTCTGTATTGTTGGTTAACTTGAAACTTCATTTATCTCAAAGACATTCTCCATTCCCACCAAACGAATAGGCTTTTACATGTATGTGCAAAAACACCTCTGTAACCACAGTAAGGTTCACCACCACATGTAAATCTGCTTAACTCCAAGTTTTTGAAGGGCCAATCCAAAAAGACTGCCTCCAAATCACTGACTATGAGTGGAAAAAGAGTTATTTCTGCAAAGTGCACTTTGTATTTTTGCAGTTGTTAATTCTTTATGGTGGCCATGTGACTGCACTGAAAGAAGTTTTGTGAATGCCCCGCCTAAAGCCTGGCTGCCGTTTGCCAAATTGCAGCACTCTTGTGCCACTCACAATACATGCTGTCTGATCATAACCTGTTTGTAGGACATGCATTCCTGTAGCGGTGCTGGAAATGTACTTTTTTGTGTCACCAAATTTCACTCGAATTTTTGAAAACGGGTAAAAAAGCAAGGTACACGTACATGTAAAGGATTGAAAAGACAAGCAAAACACACCAATATTAAACAAAATGTTTTGTTACACTCAAATGTTATAATGTGCAAAATAATGCACCCTCAAGGGATTAAAAAGGAATGATCATCCCTTCATTCATTCATTGCAGTTTATCTCATTCAGAATATCAGACATAAAGTCACATGACTTACAATGTTCGATTTACAATAAAAAAGAAGTTACCTTGAGCAGTTTGAAGAAAAATAAAAAAAATTACACTTTAAAAGTAAGTATTAAGTATTAAAATCTGTAAGAGATCAGATGAAGTTCGAACTAAACTGCCAGCTGGGCTTTAATTGATGATCAGATTTACCGGTTTTCTGGTCGTACTTGAAACAAAAAAGCAACACTTTGGTCAAAACAAGGAATGCTCTGTCGCCTGGAACAGCCCTGTGCTTCAACGAAAACTAAACAAAAGAGGTCCCATTTGGAAAAATTGCTAACCTGTAGCGATCTGGCTGACTCCCCCTCCCAACGGATGGGTCCCTTCCCACAACCACCTCCCCAAGGTACAGGGAGGCTAGCCCCGGGAAGATGTCCCCAGGCTTGAGAAGGGGCATTTCCTACTCAAATTGAATAGACGTACCACCAATCAAGTAGACATTCAGGAAACTTGCCAACCCCCCCTCCAAAAAAACCCCCAAAAATTAACCAGACTAAATGGCCAAACTGGCACTGACTTCCAGGGGAGGGGTGTGAAACCTCTAAACATTAAGCTGGGTAACAAGGTGCATCTGGATAGAGTGAAAGAAGACCAGTGCATTGTACAAATTCTCGCAGAACTTTATATTGCCAACAGCGGAGAGGTGTAGGCCATCGTGCCAGAATAGGGATGGATCTGATGCATTTATGTTGTGTGCATGAATGATTGCACTGGCATTGCCGATTTGGTGGCAAACCCTGTAAGCAAACTTGTTTGAAGCGCGAACATTGGTCTTGCCAACACCATGTTTTGTCTCCCCATAGTAAAACAATCGATATAAGATATCTGACCAAACAATACGAGTGGTCGGGAGTATTTCCCGAACAGTACAGAGGTACATTTTAATCTTACGACGTAGTTCCCTGACCGGGGTTGAGAACAAGTCGTTTGTACCCAGATGAATGACAAGGGTTTTTGGCACTGGCCTTGATTTTAAATGACGGTTGAGCATGGGAACCAACTCTATCAGTTTTGCTCCCCTCACGCCAAACCACTGGAGGCACTGTGTAGCTGAACATCGAGGGTTGGACCGACTGGCTCTGAAGACGATGCTGTCTCCAATTACCCATGTGCGTGTAGTGCCTGTGGATAAATAAAATAAGGGAATGAGAGCAAAGGCCTTTCCAAAACCCAGCATTAAAGTCAAATACCCGATGTGTTGCACTAAGCAATAAAGGAATGAAATTTTTTCCTAACTAGACCCTATGGGGACGGATGTAGAGATTTTCTGCTGGGGACTTCCAACAACCCAGAGTCTGAATCTCTGAGACTGAAATACCATTAAGGGCCGCGGATGTGGCGGCTCCTATGCAGAAGCTGTGACCGCTGAAGCCTGCTGAGGGAACTCCTGCTGCTTCCAATGACTTTTTAAGCATGTGACGGAACTGAAAGGCGGTTTGGGGAGATCAATCGAAGTGGGTGAATAGAGGGCCCCCTGAAGTGGGCCGCTTGTGCAGATAGCCTGCTAGTGAGTGTACTGGGCAGAAGGAAGGGGGAGCGTACTATGAAAACGGAGAGTTGCAGTCTCTCCCCGCTGATCGGTTTTAGAAAAACGGAGTCTTACAGTCATGACTAATGGATCGGAGCCCTCAAACCAAACATCATTGAGCCCCAGAGTGCGAGAGCTGTCGGCATGTTTACTGCCTACAGTAAACTCACCTACCCGTAAAAACCCATAGAACACTAAAAGGAAAGCAGAACAAAACACGGAACGTTCAAAATCCGATGAAGTGATGTGGTCTAATATGGTGCAGATCTTTTGCAAGAGGCCAACTGTGATGGGACAACGGCTGTCTGACTGATGAGGCTGCTGGCGGCATCCCTCCCTAATTTTTTGAACCAAGAAGTTATTAGTTTGATCGGGCCAGTACTGGAGTATATGCAAGGCAGCATAAACATTGGGTTTTATTAATGCAAGTTGTTGAGATGTTCGGGTTACAAGGACTAGGAGTGGGAAGTAGCACTTTAGCGGTGGGAGAAGCTAGATTTGCTGTTTTGTGCTGTGCATGAGGCACCCCCGTGTTCGGGGGATTGGCAGGAGGAACACTTGTGGGCGTACTTGCATTGGGAATTGGTACACCCTGTGCGGTTGAATGTGAAACAAAACCCGGATCCACGGGACGAAGCCCTGCAACAAAAGGAGTTGAAAGGGCGCTGATTGGGAAAGCTAGAATTGATCCCTTTTTGGGCCCAAAGGCCGAAGCTGGGGCCAGCGGGGGCGGTCACAGTTTGCCGTCAATGATAGCCCAGGATCTATTAGGGTGGAATTGTTGGCGCAACCTGAATTGGTGATTGTATTCTATCCAGCCCTTACCCGCAAATCGCGCTGCGGCCATCCTAATCACATGTATGTACTTAAGGAGTTCTTGGGCCCGCTCGGGGTGCACACCGATAATTATCGAGGAAAAGACAAGAAAGGCATTCGTCCAGCCCAAAATAGATGTAATTCGGGGCTTTTTCTTGGTGTCTTTCAATAGTAACTGCCCAGAATTGTCAAAACTAAGCGTGAGGTTTGAATTGGGGGAACTGTGAAAGTGGTGCTCCAGAAGCAGATCTCATTCAATGAATTCACTTTTTTATGATCTTCTCTCTAGTACTAGCTAGAATTGTAGCCCCCAAGGGATCACAAACTAAAACTAAGGGACCCTCGTCCACCCCTTATGTAGAGGGTATTGTGCCAAGCAAAAGGAGGCCCCTGAATAGGAATGCCATACTCACCAAGAGGGCGGTGACTCGAGCCAGGCACCACTGAACTTGGAGGGGATCCAGCCTCACATGCTCCATGCATCAGTACGCCTGTGGGTTGGGATGTCACCATAGCTGGGGCTCCAGAAACGACCTGCTGAAGGGGAAGAGCATCATGACTGCGCCCGTTGGGATGAGTTGATTGATGACTAATCGGCCAAGCGATTGGCGCTGACAGTGCTGGAATGGCTGGCAGGCACTCTAGACAGCTCGTTTGCAACTGGCATTGGCAAGTTCCTGAGGGACCAAGTTGGCTTAATTCTGGCAGCGGAGCGCTGAGTGAACATTGAGGAAGGGGCCTCTGAGATACCAGCACTGGAATAGGCTGAACAGAGCTCAGAGGGCCGACGAAGACGCTACACCTGGGGCCGGAACGGGCGACGAGATTGGCTGAGGATGGCATGGTGTACATGTTGCAGTGCTCGCGCTCTGCGAACTCTGGCCACAAGAGGGCACTGTTACGATCATCTGGCTCGGCCGACTTGTCACCACGGGGTCATCGGGGCTGCTGTGAACACATACATCTGGGGGGTGTGCAGCCAAAAATGATGGGGTGAGCAAAGCCTGCATAGCCCAAGTCTGTGACCGAGTCTGACTTGGAGGACGTGAAGTGTTGACCGAATTTCTCTTCTTTGCGGCCGCTCCGGAGCTCTCGGGAGCTTTTCTCTTCTGACCTTGCCGCTCTTCACCATCAAGAAATCCAGAAGTTAGGTTGATAGGCAGGATTTTTGACCAAATTGCGATGTGAACCGAACACGTATGGTGGGGAAAACCAAGAAAGTGACGGCCTTCCCACGCAAACTGGGAAAGCGCTCGAGGAAGCCCAGCCTGTCATTGGTCTGATCCGCATACCAGCTGATCCAGATTGGTGTGGGCCATAGTTACAACGCCCTTCTCACTCCCCCTGGACCCAAATGATGTTCTTCGGAGACGAGCTTCGAAAAACTGTATTATCCCATTTTAAATCATTTTGGAAAATCAATCATTTTCAGTCATTTTGTTCCTTGTGTACTTAGCTTCCCAGTAGTGGTCAACATTTTGTTTGCCATCTTTAGCCAAATTGGCACCTTTTTGAAAACTGATGTGTTGGAGGGAGGAGAAAAAAATTACAAATTTACATGGGTGATGGAACAGTGTATCAAAATTTTAAAAAAGTTATTCACGGTGGCAAAGGTAGGTCTAATATCAGGGATTTTTCTCTCTCTATTTCCTAGTCACAGCATTTATTTGTATTTGATTGCAAGCAAAACACAAGTATTGCAAGGAAATTATTGGTCCCGCTTGTCTAGCTGAGATGCAGGTAGTAATTGGGCATTTTTGGAATGTATTCTATTATTTGTCTGACTTGGCCTCGACGATCATTGAGCCAGAATAAGCCGTTTGCGAGTTAAATTTGAATAGCCTGGTACACTGAGTTCTTTAAATTCAAGTGAACATAACAATTGGAATTCTCCATACTATAGCCACTGTTGCTATACCTCATGATTTGGGGAAAGCTTTTCCTTAGTTATATGAGAGACGCCTTGCAACAAAACACTGTTCTCAATGGAAAAGAAGGGCACAAAGGAACCAGTCTATTCCAGAGATGGTGGTCGCTATGCAAAAGCTTGCCCCAAATCATGAGGTATAGCAACAGTGTCTTTAGTTTGGGGAATTTAAATTGTTACGTTCATTTGCAATCAGATAACTCAGTGTACCAGATTTTATTCAAATTTAACTCGCAAGTGGCTTATTGCTACTCCAGTGTCCTTCCTCTATGGTCATACAATGTAGTGTTCACCAATAAAAGTTTTGTCAAACGTTAATGGATAAAGTATCCAATAGTTCATGAAGATGAGCATTTGCTTCAACTTGGAAGATTTCTACTCTCACAGTGACGGCATGGGTGCTATGGTAGATAGGAACTAGATAAATACATAACTTGGTTAATATATAAATCTTGTTTTGTACCTTTATAAATACAAGGTTGTCCTTTTTTTAATCTAAATAATACAGACATTGGTTGACATCCACACCAGAAGCCACCCTGTCAACAACTATGAGACCATGGTATGTCTGGAGATACTAGGCAACCTGAGGCGTTGCTTTACTCAACAAGGCGATGTTAGACTCATCTTGTACGAGGTATATGAATTGCTTTTTAGAAAGTAGAGTATCCACCTTGCTTTTGCCAGGAAATCATGAGATGAACTCATAACAAAATTCAACTCTGTTCAATATTTTAGTTGGCTATTCCTTATCTTAAAATATTTTGAGAACTTTACCAGAGTGGCTAACTGCAGTTTGTGAAAGACTGTTTCAATTGCTTTCAATGATAACCTACGGCAAATTCATATCAATTTTTGAACATCACAGCTGCGGATCCTACATGTAGTTGTATTTTTTTTTATTGTGTAGGTTGTAAAGTTTTCATTTGCCCCAAAATTCCATTTTTGGGCCTCAAAAGTCAAACAGCCTTAATCATGTAAATCTGTTGAAAAAAATGGATGGTGGGGTACCAAATCAATTTCCTCATGCCAAAATGTATGCACCACGTTTTTGGCAATTAACATTAAATAATAAATTTACTTCGCCCATATATACATATTGTTGCATTCCCTAAATATCAAGTGGATAGTAGCATGGACTTTAATAGTGTCTACGGCATGTGATATTTGGGGTCAACAATTTATTAAAGGGTGGACGTGAAACAAGGGGTTTGGGTGACAGTCAAACTGTATGGTTGGTTTATTGCTCTCACTTCTCTTCATCAAAGTTCAATGTGGGTTTGAAGAAGGTGTAGCTTGACATAATACAACACACAAAAAGGAAAGTTACAGAAAGGCGAAGTTGTATACGAGTGTAACTAAACTACGGTTTGGCAGGACCATTGGAAATGCAAATCAGACGGAGTGGGTACGGTACGTGTGTGTAGCATCGCACAACTAGGCTACACTCATCGGGCGGGGCCATGGTGGGAGCTGTCCCGGACCACCACGGTGACTAGCAAGGGCTGGACAGGGCCAGCGCCGGTATGTACCGACCGCACTGCCGCTCAGACCACAATGAGTTGAGTGCAATGATAAGATCGCCACCATGTGTACCATTGGCTCAGCATAGAGACGGGGAGGACTGGGCTAGTTAGCAGGACATGGGTGGCGAGGGACACGGGGTTGTCTCGCCCGGCAATCGGTTTGGACGTAGCGGTGACGGGCCGCTACGACTCTCACGAGCACCCTGGGCTGATTCGTACCGCTCTCACATTGGTCCAAGCTAAGCTAGCCAGCCATTCATATGGTTACATTTCTTCACCATAAGAATGGTTACTATCGCACTTCTCTCGGTAAGGGTCCAACCGCCGCACTACGTTAGGTTCTGCTCTCGCAATAAGGGAGCTAAGGGAAATCTGCTCTATTTATAGGATTCTAGAGGCTTAGGAATTAATAAAATGTGAGCGTCACTGAACAGCTCAACTAATGAAAATCTTCCATCTCAAAGGGTCACATGACTTCCTGCTAGAGTCGTGTGCAAGAATCTAAGTGTAAAAGGTAAAATACAGAATAAGAAGTCACGTGTACTAAGTGTAGAGCCGGGTGCGTGAAAGTGCTTACCCGGTCATTTGTGGCGAATGATTGACAGTTACAAAGTTTGAGGTTTCTGAACATTAGCATTTCAGGGAACCTTACCACGCCCAACCACGCAGCCACATGGAGGGGAATTTCGACATGCCAAAACTGAGCAGAGAAAACACAAGGATAAAGGAGTGAAGGAACACGCAATCACGCCAGAGTACAGCATGAATAACTTAATACAAAATTAGAGTCTCTGCTACATGTCCATAATGCGTAGCTGAGCTACATAATAGATCCTGAGGAATGCAAGGACCGAGAATGAGTAAACTAGGGGGCGCTAGAATTCCAGGATTTGCGGGTCCGCAACAATATGTACATGACATGCAATTCATACAGTGTATGAATGGTTCTCGGACATGAGTTCCCTTATCTTGAGGACCGAACTAAGGGATACCAGACTTCCTACCATTGTTTGAATTCTGGCTTTATCAAATTTTGGGAAATAACACTGAAACCCTAATATTGCTTAAAACCTTCAAAGGATACAGCACTTTCCCCTCACCATACATGTATACCACAATACAGGTGTACAATTCGAAATAGACAACATAGGGCAATGTATTAAGCAGAGTCATTTGAATTACATGTGGAAATCACAGACATATAAAAGCATAGACTGCCACATTGCATTCAAAACTACATGAATATTTCATGATCTGCATGGCATCCGACTAAAATCGAAACTACGTGTATGGGCAAATTCGCCCCTACATGTAGGTATATATATAGGGAATTGACAAAGTTCAAGAATTCCAGCCATAAAATTCTGTGAAGCCATTTTTCGTTAAGAAAATCCTCTGTTTACTTAATCTAGCTTATGTAGACTCAAAACAATGTAGTTGCAACATTTGAAAAGAAGAAATGGCAGTACTGAAGAGTAATAAAGTGAATGTATTTTGGGAGAACATGTCAACAAATGCAGGCAATGTACATGTAAGTGCGTTGCGTATAATGCGCATTGAACATGCTGCCATCCACCATTTTGCCCTTTGTTTGCTGATACTTTTCAAAAGCATGGTTATACATAGGTGCAAAACTCATACAGTTATATTTCTGTGGTGGAAATCCAGTCCATGAGGAACACACTTTATTGGTTCCATGCATTTCACTTTCACTGTAGATAAAGTAGGGAATCAATCATATTCGTGTACCAAAGTGGTATGGTGTATCAAAGAGTATGTATCCAACATGGTAGAATAACAATGGCCCCTAGCCATTTTGCAGCAGGTGCCTTCTGATGCTACACACGTGCCTGTCCCATTCATTAGAGCTCAGCTCATTCTTCTTGTGACCAGGCCTGGTCCCCACTGAGGCACAGGAGTACATACCCATTCAAGATCACTTTCAGAGGCATATCTCTATTCTAATCCATCCACTGATGAGGATAGCCTCTCCATTTTCCAGAGACGAGTTTAACTTTGCAGAAGCAGATTAGCTCTTTCAATTTCCCCCTCCATCTCGTTTGAGCAAGTCTCGACCCTCTGGCTCCCAGGACACACATACATCCAACCATTTTTCCAATTGATAGAATGTGTGGAGATATTATGAATTCGGCTTTAAAGCAGGTGCAGGATAAACAGACAACCCCAGCAAGAAAGCAGTCTGGCAGGCCAGTTGTTTAATTGAAGCAAATCTGATGCTGAAAGTATTTTCCAACCTCCACTTTAGAGGCCAAGGATCTGCTTAGATGTGAAAATCCTCACCTCAGTTATTTGATGCTAATATCAAGGCATTAGGCAAAGACTTTTAGCCTCAGATTATTATTTACGTGTATGTCATAAGGCAAACAACATTGTTTTTCCTTTATTGTCCAGTGCTCTTGCTCTATATCATAAAAATCTTTTTGACTAGTGTGAGTAATGTACCGATTTTTCATTTTCTTGATGACTCGTGGGGCTTCATTGCCTTTAACAGCTTGTTCCTCCTATCAGTTTGGTCCACGGATCTTCCTCTGGTGTGGGTGATTTGTTTGACAACTTTAGCAAGGCTATAGTGCAGGAAGCCAAATGTCTAAAGACAGAAAACAAATTAGGTGTTTTGCATTTGGCCAAGTGCCCTTTTACTACCACCTAACATACAACTGCAAGGGACAGACCAAGAAATAAATCTTCCAACCAGGGTTCATTTTATCAACCCAAGAAGGACACAGACCAGTCTTCATCTCATCGGTCTACATTAAGGGACAGACTTCCCAGATAGTTTGGCCCCCTAAATCCCAGGGGTCTCAAGCCAAGAAGGGCTTCTGACGATTACAAAGTGCTCTTCCCCTTCCCTTGAGTCTAGGAGGTGGTCGCCTCTCAGAGTTCAGTTACCAGTGGTTCCATATAACTTCAGACAACAGGGTTCTTAAGATAATTTCATCAGGGTATTGACTGGTATTCACCAGCAACCCCCTCCCCCATGGATCCCACTTGCCAGGCTGCTTTGGAGAGGGAAGTCCTTTCTCTGAGGGAACAGAATGCCTGTGGTAGTCCCTCAAGAAACTGCCTTCGATTTCACCTCGACATTGTGTCTCGTCCCAAAGAAGTTTTGGGAGTGGAGACCCATTGTCAACCTGCTACCGCTCAACTATCACATAGGGCTGAAACATTTCTGGATGTAGACACTTTCAATTCTTCACCAGTCTCTGACTATTGGTTGATGGCAACCTCTGTTGACTTCAAGAACACCAACCTCCATGTGTCTATCGACATGGATCATCAGAAGTTCCAACAGTTTGTGTACCAGGGAACTGTGCACCTTTTTTGCTGCCTACCATTCAGACTACCATTGCTCCTTGAGTCTTCTCCAGAATCACCAGTGTTGTTGCAGCGTTCTTGAGTTAAAGACATGTCTAGCTTTTTATGAACCTGGATGATTGGCTTATAGTTGACCCTACTTGCTAGGACACAGTTAAGGCCCTCCAGCAGACAGTCCAATTAACAATCAAACTGGGCTTCCTAATCTAGACAAAGGAATCTTCTAGCTTAAACCTGAACAACAACCTGCCTTGGGACAGTTTTCAGCTTGGCTATAGACAAAGTAACTCCAACTTAGGATTGTTGCCAAACTCTACAGGATTGTGTCTGAGTATTTATGGTGTCTCCAGTCCTATAGTGTCTCCAAGAGGCGAGCTCCACACCTTACCAATGGAACCAGACCACATTTACAAGGAATCTGGTAGTGTATGCTTATTCCCAAAGATACATTTTCTTATCAAAAACCAGATTTCTCTCCCTAGATACTCTCGTGTCAAGCTTGACATCACTTTCATCTGTGGAAGAGGATGAAATGGTTGTGCTCCATCTGAACTCTTAAATATATACATGTGCATTACTCACAGTCTGCCTTACAAGGCAGTATCAAGCAGTTTCTTATCACAACCATCCAGCCTCATCCCTGGCCGCTGGGACTATGATCACGGAATAGATTTGGGAGGTAATAAGTCCTGCTGATAATCAAGTGTAAAAATCACGAGATCATGAGACACAAAGCATGTCATCCTATTGGGCCCACCTACTTACAGTTTCTATGGATTATTACGTATTACATTTACCTTTCTACTGTAGATACCATATTTTTTAAATTCATTTTGGTTCTTTTAACATACATGCAGGATCCACATGTATTTGCAGACATGTTTTCAACTTTGAAACCAACAGGGAAAATTGACGGACAGAAATTGTAGATAGGATGCTGAAATCTGAAGTAAAACCCACATGTAGCATTATTTCAAAACAGTTCTACCATCAAGTTGAGTACTTACACCTCACAGTTGGAGCCAGAGAAGTATTCTGTGTCTGCCTTGTCCATCTCTGTGTTGTATGCCCTGGTTAGCTCCACATTCAGGGGACAATTTCTCTTGCTAGGAAATTTGGGACTGAGTTGTGACAAAAATTTGTCCCCATAAAAAAGTTTGTCGTACAGTTACTATTGTTCAACACAACTACACTGCCAGTTGAATGCAAGCCATCAGTTTCCCTACCATCAATCATTGCTTGTGTAATTTTGTTTGTCAGGGTTTGTATGAAGTCTTAAGCAACAACTCCAAGTTATCAGATACAATTGTAGACATGTTAAGCAAGCAGTGGATGCGGTACTATGAAACTGATGAAGACAAACATCCACCAATCAAGCTGAACGAGTGCATCGTAAGACAGGCAGATCAGATTTCCCTCACAGAACCATTGGTAAGAAACACACACCCCCTTCCCCGCAACATGCCTCATCCCCCATATGAAATATTTCTCATGGAATGGCACATTTCATTGGTGGAAATCTCTGACTTGAGAAAAGTAAAGAATGTGAAGGCCAACTGGTTTTGAATATTGTATGATTATACAAAACTTTCATGGAACTCACTCTAATCATGTACAATGTACATGCACTAAAGGAAGCACAGTGACAATCACTAAGTATAGATGAAGTTTAGCTATATTTTGCCATTTTTATGAAATGACATGTACATACTCTGAAGAAACAAACCATGCTTTTAATACTTCGACTTTTCAGACAAACATGGTGCATTGCAGAATTTGGCATTTTCAATGTGTTTATTTTAACAAAAATTACATCATGTTCTAAATAGAGCAATAGTCCTTATTCTTTGTTGATGCTGGGTCGCTGTAAATAAGATACTAAATTTACTCCCTTTTTTTGATGGAAGTCACACCTGCTGCTGTCATTGTGCCATTGTGTTCTGCAATGTAAGAAACTGATTGAGCCCTCTAATGACAAGGATGAGGCAGAAGATGACGAGGCTGAAGCTCACATGCAAAACCTTATTGAACTACAAGAGGAGATGTTTGATTCCCTCACACGACGCATGATCAAATGTGACTTGGAAGATTTTGAATTGGTAGGTTTATTCAGCAATTTGATTTGATCCTTGCTGGCACAATTTCTCTTTGCTGAGGGTGTATTTTGGGGATAGCACTTATGATTAAGTTGCATTGCATTAAAGAATAATCACCGTAATCAGGAAGGATGACCATGGTAGCACTAAACCATATCAAATTGCCAAAGGGAAACAATGTGATTACCACTACCTGGCCTTGAGCTTGTTATCATTATTATGTTGATGTGGCTACTTTGTTTTGAATGCTTGAACATTGCTCGGAATGTGCCCACAAACTTACAGATGACTTTGTTTCCTGGTAGTTTTACTTGTGAAGTGTCAGAAGCAGTGTTATGGATTTGGATACATCTCATCAATTGAAAAAAAGTTCTTGCATCTGATTTATATCTGCAAAGATTTGGAAGTTTCGGATTGCCAGCATTTCCATGTTTGCCAGTTCTTACTTGCCCGAATGAAGAGCCAGTTTAAGAGATTTTAGTTGGAAGTTTAGTTTCATTAAGTCTTGCCTCCTGGAATAAAAAATCCTGTGTTTTGTTTTTCATGATACTTATGGTTATTATTGCATGTAAGTTTTGGGTGAATTGTGCACAGCTTGATATTAAGTGATTCTCACCAGATCATATTTCATATAAAATGGTGCTCATATATATTTTATTTTCAAACACAGACCCTGTGAATGTTCAGAGAGCTTTTCTGTTCATTCCTTCCATTTTAACTGACTGACTGTCATAGTCATTTCCATATCAATTTTCTCCCACTAGGACAAGTCTGCTGACTTCTCCCAGGCTGGTACAGTGGGAGTCAAAAATACCATCTCTGCCATCTTAGTCTTAGGTGTGTATGAAGTGCTCATGGAATACAACCTCACTGACACTGATTACAGGTAAGGCAGAAACTAAAGTTGGCTGTCGTGGAAGTTTAGTATAGACAAAAATAGTACACACTTATCCACAGTAAAAGTGTCCATGCTGGACAGGGCCCAGAGATCCACATGGACTGTATGATAAGTGCAGAGTGCTAGACTTAACTTAGTGTACATCAGGCTTCTAGCCTACACGTACACCATGCCTACTGTTTCTGTCCTGTTTAAGTAACACACAAAGACAAAATAACAAAGATGACAACGACAAAGCACAAAGACGTTGTAATAATTAAAGTTCAGATGAATCCCAAAAGGTGTTGCCGTGGCAGAAACACCAATGACATGCTGGAAAATACCTCTGCAAAGGTGGTGTAGAATGACTATAGAATGTTCACTCCTCTTTAGTTAAAATGAGTAACAAAAATCCTACTGAATAATTCCGTACAAAATTTTGAGATGTGGTGAAGAAAAAGGAGTTCTGTTATGCGAGGTGAGAAAGCAGGACAACTGTCAACGTTTCCAGTCCAAGTCACTCCAATGTGGAACATATTTACACTGTACATGTAAATGCATAATGCTGTGCATAAGCTGACTCTCCTAAAGTGGGCCAGTTGCTTAAAATTCTTATGGCAGACTGCTTGTAACAAAGTTAGGAAAATTTCGCAGAAGGAACTGTTCCTCTTAACCACTTCTAAGCAAAAGAGCACAAGGGTGTGGTGGTATTTTGGTTGAAAGTCAAGATCTGCACTGTGGCTACTTCTCAAAGCTACATGTAGATTGGAAACCTGAAGTGCTGACTCTCTATTGAGAGTAATTTGTGCAAAGTTTGTGTCTGACATTTCTCATTGTAACATCTTTGCTACAGTCTTGAGCCAATGCCTGCTATGACAACTGGCCATAACACTTAGTCAGGGTACCACACAGAGCCTTCGTCTTCCGTGGACTAGTCAGACTTCTGTGGGTTACATGCATTACTCCTTTCTTTGAATAAAAATTGCCGGAAAATTTTTAGAATTCCTCTGTGTAAATTATCAAAGAAAATTGTTGGACAATTTACACATCCTGTGGGACAGAGTGGCCAAAGGTGAATCCCAGACCAACTTTTCTGGGGTTGGGAGTTACTTACCAGCCCAAAAATTGGGATATAATTTATTTTATTTTATGTTTACTGTTAAAAGCTTTCTTTAGGGGTGAGGCTAATTCATAGGCTTTTTACACGATTTCAGAAGAAATAGAAATGACACACACAAAACTGTTATTTCATCATTTTTTAATAAAACATTTCTTGCTTCTTTTGGAGGTGTCATTCCCTTATTGCTCCTCCCATCTGCCAGTAAAGTTGGCTGATGTTTAAGTTCTTGATGTAAAAGGATAACTAACTGATACAAGAATTAAATAACACACAAGGGACACTGGTTGTCATTAGCAACAGCATGGAATTACTTATTTATTCACACCAATCAAAAACGAATTAAGTTAGTCTAAAAATTCATTTGCTGTTTTGGAAGCATTTTTTTCAGTCGCTTTAATATTGGTGCACTAATACCAGTAGGCCCATTCTGTCAACAAGGTAACATACAATATCACACCATTATGACAATGTACATGTATTATACCATTGTCGCATGTCCAGTTTAATTAACATGTGGTTATACATATACTTAACCTCATCCTAGTTGTCCACCACTTTGTTTGGAATTATTTACACCTATCTTCATCTTAATTGTAAGCATAGATTGGGCCAGTCAACACACGAAGTAAGCACCATACATGTATATGTAATTTACTCCCACAGTACATATCTCGTAAATGATGTCACTTCCTACAGATTGACATGTGCCCTGGTGTTTCGGATATCAAATTTTCGTGACGCGTATTGGCTGCGCCATACTTAGAAAACATTACATTGGATTAACACTGCGCATGTATATAACATGTCACATGTTATGTTCACACGCACCTGATGGTATTAAATACGTAGTTGTAATTTTTCTGTGAATATGAAGAGAAATCTTGAAGCTCTCGGATTGTTTAACCCTTTTGAAAGCATTGAGCCAATGTGTACACTTATATGTACTGTGAAGTTAATGAACTTGAATGAATTTTTTGCCCTGCCCAACGTGTATTGCAACTCTGTAAAACAAAAAAAATACTGTGAAGTTCGTCACTGCAAGCTACTGGAATAATGCATTTTACCAAAATGTCAACAGTGCTCCTGCATAAGTTACAGCTTTCTAATTGGTTGTCAAAGGTGAGCACCGCAATTTACATGTGCTTAATGTGTTGGACATTGCTACTGAGGAGTAAAACAATCAATGCTCCAACATTGTGATATCTGAGAGGGTGTCCATGCTAATGAACCTGTGCACAAACTGGAGCAAATACATCTACCACAAATAACACAGGTTAAAAAAGAAAAAATGGTAATTTGAATTCCCATAGCAAGTTTCAGAAGCCACTGTTAATATTCCATGACATGATGTTTTTAGGTTTGCCTCCTTCTTTCTTCTGTCCTGTTCCCCAAGAGGACACAGACACAGCCAGCCCAAACACTGGGGGAGAGAGCTAGGGATTTCCAAGATGCATTGAAATACTGCAATGTTTGATACAGTTATTATTACAGCCAAATTATGAAATGCATTGTATTAGTTTGATAAGTTGTTAACAATGCCAACTTTAAAAGGAAATGTATAATCTCAGCCCCGACAAATCATTTTCATCGAATACAAATAAAAGGAAAATGCATTTGTATTTCAAAACTGTTTTATTCTTGCAGTGGTAACTGTCACCCACGCTCTTTGTGAAGCTTCTCTGTGAGTGTTTAAAATGCTGTTTACATTGAAGCTGCACAAAATAGGAACAATTTCAAATTTATATAGATATATCTCATCATCTTCTGATTTAAATGCAAAAAGTCTCAACACCCTGAGACAGCCAAAAGAACAGAGATAAAACCTGATCCCATAATATATGGGAAAAATTCAGGAAAATTCCTATCTGACCCTTGATGGTGATCAAGCATGACACGCTCCAGGGTTTGTTTCTTAGTTTTTGCAAAAGAATGCTAATGTCTTATAAAGTTATTAAGAGTTACCTCTCTCTGAAAATGAAGAAAAACGGACTGTGCGGTGTGGTGACTACAAATAAACCTTTCATCATTCCAGTGCCTTATGTACCCACACTCTGCTTCACTCGTCACTGCCCACACTTTGTATAACAACCAACTACACAGCTTCTCACACTAATCATGAGATAGTAATTGTCTTTTTATGTAAACATGACAAAGAAAGTGTGTAATTCCTTGTTTCGTTATGTTTTTACCGTCTAAAAATAAATCGTCATGCAAAAACATTGTGTCTTGCTTTTGAGTACAGTAGTTTTGATAAAAATACATAAATAGGTTTGTGGCCTCACGGTAAATTTGTTTGCCCAATTAATCGCAGGATTAGGCTTTGGCATCTTGTTTACTTTATACAAGTGCAGATCCGAGGAGGGGGATTCAACCACACACACTCTTAGACAAAAAAAAAGGTAAAAAGGAATAGAATAATGAAAGGATTCAAGTAAGCATACCAATAACATTGTGAACAATGTACTTGTATATGTTTCATCATCATTTCCACTTGTCTGCAAAAGTTATATATTAAAAACAAACTTCAGCCTGACACCCCCCTCCAAAAATTTTCAGATCCACCCCTGTTATGCAAATGAACTTTGAAAGGAACAAGATCAACATAACTGGTTTTTCTTAAACGACATGCTATGCATATGCGGCAGAAAATTGCTCACTTAAGAAAAACCTTGTTCTAACGATTAGGTTGCAATTTACTTTGAAAGAAAAACAAAGACTTTTTAAAAAATCAATTAAATGTTGACTTCTCAAAAAGAAGAAAAGACTAGGAAACCAAAAATGGAGCAGACACTTGTAATGAGTGGATGGGTTGGAGAATGGAGCAAGGAAATGTCTTGTCTGTATGGAGATGGTCTGCTGAATGACCTCTATATTATGAAAGTAATGCATAACTGTACAGGAAATTTGGGCCAGCATAAACAATAGGGGTAGGTTGGACACTTATAGGGAGGACGGGGTACACCTTAAAAGAAAGATGGGTTATAAAGTACATGTCATTGTACAAAAATCTCAACTCATTTTCTGCTCCTCTACACATAATCTGGTCAGAATGTCATTACTTGTTAAGATACAATGTTTTTGCTTTAACCCACCGTGATGGCCCATTACTGAGGACATAGATAAATCTCATTTAAGTCAAAAATATTACTGTCAAAGCCCTACCAGTATATCATCTTGGGTTTGAGTGACATATCCTTCATCTGACTAAAGCTTGTCGTTGGATATTCATGTAGCACCTGAATCAGTGGCAAATGGTCATTTATACTGTATTGTATTTTCCACAAAGTTTACGTTTGTTTCTTGTATTTTCTATTTAGACACATTTTTATTTATAAACTTGAACGATTTGGGATTAGTTTTGAATTGTGATCAGTTACCTTGAAAAGGGGGAAAACATTAATACAATTTTATTTTGCTTTTCAGGAAAATATGAATTTCAATGAATTTTGAGATTTGACATTTTACACAAACACGACTATACATGCCGTATGGGACTTTGTGTGGAGTGTACTGAGATATGACATTCAGCATGAATGCGAAGGCACATAATTAATAAAGATACATAATTACGCAATATTTTTCAATAAATTTACCTGTAAATTTTAGACTACTCCAGCGAAAATCTCAACTGGGTAAATAAAAAATGCACTGAAAGCCTTGGAGATAAATCCGAATTAGGTAAATCTGAATCAAATTTTAGAAAAAAAAACAATTTCACGAAATATGCAGTTACAACATGTTTGCACTGACATAACAAAATGTTACAATATTGAGAAAAAATTCTGAGTGTAACTTGAACCCAGAACTGCCTGATTACAGAGCTGTTTCAAAATATGGGAAAAGAGAATAAAAAGACATTAATACCTTGTGCCTCTTTAACAATAAGGTGGGCATAACAACAATATGTAGCCGCAATGACAAACATAAAGCCAGATACATGTAGATAACAAGCACAACAAAACAAGTATTTCTACATTCGTAGGATTTACAAATAGCCCAGGATTGAAAAAGGTAAGAAGGCTTCCGAGACTGTTATTAGTAAAACTGTGCATTATCAGCAGTTTTGCAGAAAGCCTTTGAATAGTTGAGCTACCAAGCTGACTTATGGGTTTGTCTGGGATTTTTCTCCTTGGACCATGCTGTAAGCTCCTAAGTAGTTTGATGTTTCCTTATCAGCACTGCACATGGTGAGCTGTTACTGAAACTCTTCACCAAGTACCACAGTTTGGCTGAGATACTGAAAGAGAAGAGCAGCCAAAAGAGCAAAGCCAGTCACAAGGCAACACGTAGCCTTCTCTCCATCAAGTTTGTTGCTTCCATGATGGAGGCACTATTCAGGTAAGTCCTTGGTCCAACAAAGTGGTATAGTCAGTAGTCAGTCTGCCTCATGGATGTCCTAGTCCATCAATCAGATGAGCCAAGGGTTAAAATGTCAAGTGTCATAGGTGTTCAATTTTTTTGGCCTCAGTGAAACTTTTTTGAGATCTCTGGTGAAGTTTTTGTCTTTGAAAAGTTGCAGTCAACCTGATGTAAGGAATGGCAGTTAGTGGCAAAATAATGGCATATGGAGAAAACACCATTGATTTGACGTGTGTGCTATGTGAATGGACAGTGACATCTATGATGGCTGAAACAATGATCAATAATTTCCTAATTAAACCTAGATTCCTGTCTTTATAAAAACTAAAACATCATTCATGCTAACTTGTGATATTTGTGGAAGTTTAAAGTTTTACTCAAATTCCAAAGACATTTTTTCATTTTTTTTAAAGTCAGGACTTTGTTTAGTGGTACTTTTAAAAAGCATATCCTCATCAGACTTGTTACAAAGATGTTGAAATAACCTAGTGTATCAAACAGTGCATTAAGATGCTACCATCAACTATTCAAGGGTCTGGAATACTTCAAATTTGGTCAAAATGAAATATTAAGATAAAAGCTTATGAATACTTAACAAAACCCAGAAATGAAGCAAATTTTTACCAGGAGAGAAATTAATTATTTGCATGTTTTCAAAGGGCAAAACATAAATTTTCAGAACTTTTCCATGTGGACAGACTTGTCACATCGTGAAACCACTGGCATCTTGTTGTTTTCTTTTGTATGTAGTGATGATGCTCCAGACCATCAGGAGTGTCTCGACATGCTGCGTGAAAAACCTGACTTTGTTCGCTATGTAGTCAGTATCGCAGTGCAGAAGATACAGCAACTGGGTGACAAGGGACATTGTGATGGTCCAGAAGGAAGTAACCTTGAAAAATTGTATTCCTTGTGCTGTTCAATCTCCAAGTAAGCTTGCTGTGGAGTACCTGTATTGCATTTTTGCCTATCTCTTGCTTTCTGTATACCTGTTCATGTATGTTAAAACTGTAACTCCCTCCCCAAACCTACATGTACATGTTGTTGCAATTTTCTGTGTGGAAAAGAATGACTGGGAGCTCAGCTGATGTTGTCTTCAATAATCATATTATATTACATTATGGCCAGGAGCTGCAGCAGGAGTTTAGCAGTAGTGTTGTTTGTATAAACAGAAGTTTCAAATTGTGGGCTGCAGCTGTGATTTTTATCTACTCATCAACTCACATTCATCAAATCTGCTGTCATAAGTTTGAACTTCAAAAACCAGGGGACACGTGATGTTATAAAGGAGACCTACTTTATCCTCTTCAATTGAAAGAGAGATCATTTTGAATCAAAATGTAGAACTAATACAAAAGTGCTTAGATGTACTGTAGATGCACCATTTATCACCAACAAGAAAACTTACCTACAAATGACAAGAGATCGTTGGGAAAATTGTGGGTATACTGATAGTTTACTGTGTGTTTGTTGAAACCTTCAAACATGCTAATCTTACGTACATTTATTATGATGTTGATCAGTTGTACTTGCATTGTGGTCTCTATTCCTATTTTCTTAGTTGTTTGCAAAGTTTGTGTTAAGGATTGATGCAAATCAACCATTTCCCATTGATGAATGTCTCCTTTCATATAATATTTTAAATTGCCAGCAAGAAACTACAATTTATGTTTCTGTCAAACATTGCTTAGCACGCACATACCATGAGGACTTTTTCAAACAACACTAATATTTGTCATTCCTCAGAACGTTTCTTCACAAATTTACTACTGACACCATTACATCAACAGAGCAAGGCAAGAAGGAAAAGGTAAGACTTTTATTGCATTAAAGTCTGAAGCTGCAGGTTGTCAAGGAAATTTGGAAACAATTGTACATTTAGTTGATAGCTCTGTCTTGATCTCTTACATGGGTTATTTTACTGGTTCTCAAGTAGAAGCACATCTCAACTGGTACATGTGTCATATAAACCCCTATCGTGTCCATGTGAGACAAAACATCTGATGATAGGTTAATGCATCAGTGATACTTCAGAGAGTGTTCTTCTTTATTGGTGCTTTTAGAAATTTGAACTGTTCTGAGGTTCTGTTGCATAGAGTGTAAACACTGCCAGAATCATCTCCAGGAGGAAAGTCATACAAAGCTGAAGATCAAAATGCTCCTTGGCAAATTTCCAGGAAGATCTGAAACAAATGAAAAAAAAAACACTGATCTCTTGGTGCTCCTTATCTACTACACTGAGATGAATGGTTGCAATATATTCATGGCACTTGAACCGAAGGCAACTTCCAAACAGAAGAGAGTTTGGGACATAAAGCAGTTGAAAACCAAACTTGGGACATCAGTATGCCGCAATATATTGTTTATACATGCCATCCTGGGGTGTGAGACCACTTCAAGGGTATTTGGCCTGGTCAAAGGCCTTGCTCTGAAGAAACTGAAGAATAACCAATTCTTCTGTGAACAAGCTGAGATGTTCAACGCACTAACGTCAGATGAGAAGGCCAACATTGTTAAAGCAGGAGAGAAGGTCTGTGTTAATGTACAAGGGATGTCAGACAGAATCCTTGGATCAGCTTTGATACAAACAATTTTGTTCCAAAGTGGCAGCTAGAATCATGGCTGTTTCGGCACAATTACTGCCATCAACATCATCATCAGCTCAGTACTATAGTCTGTGGTTGTACTATCAGATTAAGGAGTGGAAAGAGCAGTCCACAGGTCTTTTACCCGAAGACTGGGGTTGGATTCTCTAGAATGGGAAATACAGTATGTTCCAAGGCTCAGCGACAGAAAACCTGCACCAACAGAGCTACTAGAGGTCATGAAATGTGGATGCAAGACAGACTGTTCAACACGAAAATGTAGCTGCAAACACTCCGGGATTGAATGTACAGGCGCATGTCTTGTATGCCATGGTACAACATGCAGCAATTCATCAAATTCGGCTATTGATCTTGAAGCAGAAGATTAAACTAAAGAAACCTCCCTCGTCACTATCATCATCATATTAACGTTTGAACACATTTAAATGAAAGCCACTTTGGATTTGTACTTATATCAGTATCAGTTCTGAGGAAAATGCTTTTCAACATTTCCAGTGACACAAATGTAATCAGAAACATCGGAAATATGGATAAAGGTAACAAATTTCTTAACCAGTTAATCTGCTATCTTGTAATATTATAAAAAAATCCATTAAAATGGCCGCCATTAGGATTTATGCAAATTAGCCATGTACCAAATGTCCAGCAAGAATTTTACTGTAATAATTGTGCTCAGAGACCTTGAAAACATGGGCATAGACACCAAAATTAGTCTCCTGCAAGTCTCTTATCTCAAGATATGGTCAAACTCTGTCAAAGTGGCGGCCATTTTGAATATATGCAAATTAGGCATATTTCCACAACTCGGATTTGCTCGGACTTTTTTCTGGTCATTTTGGGTACACAGCATAAATGCATTTTGAGGAAAAACCTTCGATAGCAATTAGTTCTAGGTTGAATGTTAATTTTCTTGGAATAATATCACATGGTCAATTCGTGACAGATAAATTTCACTATCTGTGATGACTGGTAAAACAATAGCATTTGTTACTTGACTCACAGAAATCTTTGATTAAAGTCTTGCTAATTTTGATGAATTTCAAAAATGCTTGCCTGACATTTTGTTGCCTACTTTGGACATGTATTGTACATAATTGCACCTCCAGTGCTACTGTATTTGAATGGTTCCTGGCACGGCCCATTAATTACAGTGCATTTTTATCCACTGGAACCAGTGAAACCATTCCTACATGTCACATGCAATTTTTAAGCAATGACTCAAGGTCAAGGAAAACTTGATTTCATTTTGAGATTCTACTTCCATTGGAAAACTACCTGAAAAGTGAATCATGAAAGAAGATTAATATATTGAAAATGCAGAAAATGGGCTGAAGATCAGATCTTGTATAATGGAAGCAGTATTATCATTTTCATGACTGATAACTTCAGCCTCGAGTGACCCAATGTTGTCCTGATCGGGAACCAGATTGCTTTTACACAAATGTCTGATAGCTGAGAGACAGTAGCCAACTCAGATTAAGCCAACATACACCATGTATGTGGACAGTTTCTTTTCTTGCCATTAGTGTTTGAAATTGTATCAAGGGGGAAATTGAAAAAATTTATGACTTAGCAGGCTGTGCCACCAGAAACAAATGATAGAGGATGGAGTCTGGGTGCACTGACCTGTAACTGGCTACTGAACGAGGATTGAATTTGATTGAAAGATGATACAGCACAATACCACCGTTACAAATATGAATCAATGCATCCATTCCAGGCTAACATGTAGTGGCGTGCTTCATAGATGTGTCTGCATGAGGATATTAGGCCAACACTTCCAACTTAAATGTACACACAAAAATTCAATATCAGAATAAGAACCCTGCACTTTGTGCATTGTGTGCGATGTATATTCTTTCCCTGTTACCTTTCATTTCAAGGTACAAGTAGTTCTCACTGGAAGTCCAATCATGAAGTGAAATCAAGTTCCTCCGAACTAGCAAAATTTTTATTAAAGATTTCTGTGAGTTGAGTCATAAAAGTTATTCTGTCTATTTGCAAATGTATCTCCATTTCGATGACTTTTTTCACTCCAAAAATCCTTGCCTTTGTAGCAATGACATGAAGCAAGATTTTCTTCTTTTGTACATAGGCCTATTCAGTGGCCACACTACATGCCCTTCTTGTATGCATGCACATGCACTGTACATTATAAATATACCCATGAGTGATATGGACCACACTGCATGTTGGCCATTGTTCCTTCTTGAGTAAGATTTTTCCTCACTTTTGAGTTATTACCATTAGTTGTCAGAGTAATCACTTCATTCTTCCAACTAGATCTCAGTTACATGCATATGATTTTTTCTGATTGTACTTAATACATACAATAGGGAAAAGCCTTGTCATCGTTGTGCCTGGAAGGTCTGTCTTCAGCAGTGAATGTGATCTGTAGTCGCTACCCTAATCGAGTGGCTGATTATCTCAGACTGATTGACACTGACCTCAGTACTGAACGCAGTCAACGAAACACAAGGACGGAGGAAGAAATTGTTCATCTACACATCAAGAAATTGCAGGTACATGTAGATTATGGCAGTTGCAATGATCCCTGTTCACTGTTGTTACTGCTGCAAGACTTTGTAATTAATTCAGTTTCATTAATTCCTGGACAATGACATTAGGAAAAAAACTCCGAGATGCATCCACATGGGCCATTTTAATTGCTCTATATTCAAACCAGTATGCAGGTCATGCACCTTGCTGTTGGAAATTCCAAAATGACTACATGTAATTTCTCCAAAAATAGAGAAAAATAATTAAAATGTCTTCTTGTGTTTGTGAAGTTTACGGCCAGCACCACCCCAATGTACATGTACAGTCATCTTGGTGATCCCTGTAACTGCATTATTTGTATATCATAGGTACATCGGTGTATCAATGAACAAACACAACTGTAGTATATTTTCATTACACTGACGTGAGGGAAGTGTAAATAGAGATAAGGTACACCATTGCAGTGCGTTGGTTTGAAAAAAAAAACACGCAAAAAGGGGACCTGCCAAATAATCCTTGAATCATACCAGTACTTGAAAGGAAGTAAATAACAGCCTTGGTCAATCTATGATATATATCTACCCAGAATGCCAGTATTTTTGAGAAACCAGAAATTGGTTGTGTATTCCAGTGAGGTGCAATCTGATTGATTGGAGGATTTTCTGTAGATGCAATCTGATTGATTGGAGGATTTTCTGTAGATGCAATCTGATTGATTGGAGGATTTTCTGTAGATGCAATCTGATTGATTGGAAGATTTTCTGCAGATGCAATCCAATTGATTGGAGGATTTTCTGTAGATGCAATCTGATTGATTGGAGGATTTTCTGTAGATGCAATCTGATTGATTGGAGGATTTTCTGTAGATGAAATCTGATTGAATAATTTTTGTGATCCAGAATTAGGAAAATGGCTGTACATGGTGCTGCAGTCAGTGCAAATGAGCCTCAGGCCTCACGACATGCACTCACATGACACTCGCGATGTCACTGACATTACTTGTCATGGTGGTAAAACTTGTTTTATTTACTTTTTTTCATATTGTAGAACAAAGTACATGAAAAAACACAGACTGACAGACATTTCCTCCCAATTTATATACCTGTACATTATAACATTCATAAAATTTTACATTCAACTCATTCGGATACTTAAAAAAGTCATAAGTAATTAATAGAATTACATATAAGTTCCCACATGATTGATGTTTAATACTCGTTATAAAGAGCCATATAGACCCTCTGTTGCACCATGGGGTCCATTTTCCCAGTGGACCAACAGTGAAAAGTCTTCTAAATAGTACAGCAGCAGGCAGACAAGTTTGGGGCTAAACAAACCTAATAAAATATCAAATTGTTAACCTTTTCTGTATAATTTCACAAAATGTAATGATTTATAAGATTCCAATACTTATTATTATGCTGATTTCAACCACCAGTTTCCTTAAACATCGGCAGTATCCCTATGTGTATACAATTTGGCTGTTTTTAGGAGAGAATAAAAAAGAAAAAAAAATATTTGCGAGCCAACCAGTCAATTATGCAGGTCCCTTGAGGAACCCCATGTCCATCAGTCCAATGGTGACAGTGATGGCCACACCCTTAGAGCTTGTATGTCCTTGACAGATGTCCAGATTGTTGCCAGTTCCCTGGGTCAGTGAAAACTTTGACTTCAGAGCCGATGAATCCTGAAGCAGGGGTCAATCTCCAGGCTGTCAACGGAGCATATGTTCCCATAAATTCTAGAATGGGCGTGAGAACCCTCTTGAATGGCCTGTGTCACCTCACTCTGGCTGGTTCATCTAGAACTGTCAAGTAGTTGTGACTTGTTCACGCAGAACCAAATGGTTCACTCAGAACCCACAAGACTTTAGGATTACCCCCAGGGAAAAAGCCTTTTGAAGAAAAATCCAAATAATTCATAATGTAACCCCTGTTGTGATAACACTAACCTAGTTTGGCTGTTCCCACCAGTTTCATTTAACCCAGGGTTAATTTACGTTTGTGATCAAACTCATGCCAAAACGCAGCCTTTCTTTTTGAAATGTATCTCAAGATTGAGCTTTTCCATAGTTGTTTAATACAAAATAAATTATTACTAACATACTGTAATAAGTGAAATTAACATACAGTTTTCCAAACTGGCTTTCCTTTAGGGCCATGCCCTAGGTACAATACACTCAGTATTTTGTACCTCACCACACAGGTGGACTACCCATCTTTACACCACTCAGACTGCAATGGTAGTGCCCATCAGCACACACACATTGGTGCCTTGAACCAAAGTCACTGAAGCATACTTAATTTACATAACATTGTATTGCACGACTATTCTCCAGAGAGATTTGCTTTTAAACAGTCCCCTACATTCAAAAGTGGGGGTTGACAGAAAAAGAGGAAACAAATCTCTAATGATGGCTCTTTTTACCTCAACAACTTCTACATAAAACTCCATAAAGATGATTTATGAATCACTTATCTTGTGACATCTTCCTATACTGTTCTAAAGGGGGCTGAAGCTGATGGGTAAGCTGATGGGACATGATGGGGCATTTTGCTGCTGGAATTGCATGAAGTATTGAGTTATAAAGGCGTCAAATGGCAATGGAAAGGGGCAAAAATGTAAAATTAATTCATGTAAATGTGATAAACTGACATGACTGACACTGACTAGAATTAAAAAACGACAGTAATTCATGTTTCCTCTCTGACAACATTTAACATTGTTGCCTGCTATGTAGGGGTCCATGGTGTTTTGTACACCCAAGGGGGCAAATGGCACTGAAGGTGAAGCCAAAGGTGCCATTTTCCCCAGAGAGCAATAAATCAAAACACTTGCGCAGTAGATAAGATATTAAATTACAAGGAAAATTAAAATTGATTGTGCCATCCTTTGTTGAGCTGTGTTTTTGTTTTTTGGAAAGAGGGGGATATCTAGGAATTGTAACAAACTGATTTACAGAGAAACTTGGATTTCGTAAAGCACTGGGGTTTGTGTCGATTGGTTGAATTTCAAGACATTACATGTATTTACACGAAATTCTAGTTAAACATATCTGCAAGGTTGAAGAGTAGCCGAGGAGAGACAACAAAATAAGTGTTTATATAGACAACAATGGCAGTCGCAGCAGAAACAGGGCTTAGAGCAAGAAAGCATATTACTCATATCACGCGAGCATAGCTGGGCGCATGAACAGAAGTCTAACCCGTGGGTCTTTGTCATGGTCAGAGTATAGAGAGTAGCACATACGAATGCACAGAGTGCTTCACTTTCCCCCACACAGCACAAATTAATTGAAACCTAATACCAGCGCATCTATCCATCATCATACCCCAGGTTACACAATTACAACACAGTGGACATGACACATCAACTGTGGGAAACATCACCGTTATCCATCATTTTTTGTAGCACTACACCATCACCAATCCACTCAATCTTAAGTGATACATGTGCGCTTGTGGCATATCAAGTGATCAATTCGCGACCAATAAAAATTCACTGTTCATGACCATGGTATAACAACCCTTATGGAAGATATGTAGCCGGGAAAGCAGCCAGATTGTACTGTTATATGGGGTTACTGGCCATTCAGCCAACCAACAGAAGTGTTTACACAGTTCCAAGCAAAATAAAGGCAGGGTCTCTCAACATATTCACTTGTCGAAAGTGACCCTAAATGCTAAGCGCATGTCTTTTGCAAGGTGCATAGAAATGATAAATGTCTCTGCAGCAAGCACAGTGCTTTCTAACTTGAAATTTACATTCTTATCTACCTCCTATTTAAGAAGATGCTTAGAAATCTATAATGCTGATGTCTATTTGAAAGCACATCCATATCCATGATATTCATAAATGGTATTATTCAACAGGTCAAAGAATTGCAGTTACTAGTCATACTAGTGCTGCATTCTTAAGCTAATGTTGCAGTCTACCTTGCTGCAAAAAGCAAATATATGTACATTTATCATACATGTTGTAAAGTAAGCAGAACTTGCTGACCTATAAGTTTCCATGACTGCCACATCAAACCTTTTTTATGTACTTCATTTTCATTATCTTGTGTTCTTTCCTGATTTTGTGCCTCTTTTAAGTAGTGTTTGTAGGATTTATTGTTACAATTTAAGTTGAATTCTGAGTGCAAAGTTTAACTGTACACCCAAGTCAGCAGTAAATGCCATTTTTCTTTACTTGTTACTGAGATTAACAAGTTAATCAACTGAATTATTGTCTGATATTGATTTCTCACTAGCGTCTTGTGATGAACCAGCTGACTGCGCATGATAATTCCTGTATTAAGGATGCCATGCATCTGTGTCACATCATCATGCTTCTGTCCAAGCATCTTCAGTCAAATGGAGCTCAGGTACTTGTCAAAAAGAGAAGTACATGCCAAACAACCATGTGATTAGCAAGTACTACATGTAAAACTTTAACTGTTAATGGGTCGTATGAATAAAAAGTAGCACTTACTTTTACTACCATTTTTGAAGCATTTACTCGTGTTTGTATGAATAATAATGAAGCAAATGCTTTTACTTATATAGTGCACTTGCTAAAAAGTAAGTTTACTCTTAACGCTTGTGCTTGACAATAAGCAGTTGCTTCATTTTGTATAAATAAAAAAGAGTAAGTTCTACAGAATTGGAGTATTTACTTGACATTTGTCGAGACTGGGTCAGGGCAAGCTTAATAGCGAGGAGCATTTACTAATATTCAAAATGACAGCATTCATGAATGTCATTTGAAAGGAAAAGCTGTATGCCTTTCGGAGGGAATCTCAAGAAACCAGATGCAAGCAGTTGTACCAATTTGAAGTGGCAGAGCAATTTTCTTCAAGGTTTTGCGATCAAAATTACTACCATCGTGCTTGTCTGCCATACTGAGGTCTCAAAATGCAGCACATTGCTGCAGTGTGCAGACAACGGAAGCCGTATTGTACAAAACCATTTGGCTGTGCAGTCAGCCACAAACATAAAGCATTTACTAATATTTACACTAGTAGATACTGAATAGTAAAAGAAATATTTTATTCCTACAAATTCAAGCATTTGCTTAATATTCTTAATGGTTTGACTTCTCAGTAAATGCTGCTTGCTTGGATCTCATAACATTTGCTAGGTTTTATTCATATGACCCATTGTGAGGTTTGTCATTAAATCTTACCATTTTAAATAACATGTTCCTGCTGATGTCCAACATTAACCTGCTGGCACCGGGCTCAATTAAAATGGCCATGCACAAATACAGGTGTTTTTCATGATTTTCCCTTTTTAAAATTCTTCCAAAATTCATTATTTCATTTACTGGACGTTTACACCCACACAAATAACTGTCTGGTGGCTACTCTAATCTGACAGGCAACATCTGTTGATGCTCATGTATTTCAGCCAGGCTTGCTGCCTTGTAAAGAGAGCCCAGATTGTGTGGTGTTGCGTAATTTTCTTTTGTTCTCAAGACTCGAGCAGTTCGCTGCTGGCGTCTTTTTCAGTGGGGTCAGTTAAGCATGCAGTGGTAATGTGTTGCTCAGCACTGCAGCGCTGGAGAGCTTTTATTCGTGGTTGTAATCCTTTGTATTGAATGCCACAAATAGTGGTATAGTGTTTCAACAAAAAGGATGGATTGCCTCCGCTATTGACAACTGAAAAATGTTCTTCAATCCCCCGCAGCTTTTGCTCAGAGTGCGGTCTTTTGTTGCAAGACCCGGCTCCTTTGTCTGATTTTGGGCTCCCCGGCTTTGCGTACGAACATAAGTTACCCGAAAGCGGGTCCCCTGGTGGGAAGTGGTTAACTCTGAAAGAAATCTAACTTCATTGCAGTTCATGATTGCAGTTAATGTTTTGCCATCATGGCCTTACATGAATAACAGATTGTTTCAATTTGTATTCCAGTTTGCACAGTTGCATGACTGGGTGTCTAGAGTATGTGCAGAACAAGATATTGGTGAGTTCAGTTATATTGTTTTGTCAGTATTACTTTTGTCATGGTGAAGTTTCAATATGATTTCATCCCTGTTCTTCACATTTTATTTTTTACCAGAAATTTCCCAGATTTTCTTCATGTTTTTTCAAATTGTAAAGAGTCACTAAAAGTACGTATAAATGTCGTTTTGTATTGCCTCTGCATTGTCGGGTGATGTGCATTTAAATTCTCTTCAATATACCTATTATGTAATTTGACCCTTTGATTTTTGCAAGAAATGCCTGAATTACTGAGGGGTTTTCTTTAGTTTGGTTTTTTCAATGAGACTCATTTACATATTTTAACATGTTTTTGTTAGTAACAAGCTGCTGGTGTGAAATATTTTTAACATCCAAATTATAATTTGGTTGTTGACTTTTGTGTTTTTCAGAGGATTCAGGACTTGTCAAGGCTCTGATGAACATGCTATTCACATTGACTCAGCAATGTACCAGCTCATTAAGCTGCCTACTTCATGTGGCCCAAGATATACACAGTCAAATTGGTGATGTTGATGAGGTAAATAAGATTGTTATGCCTTACATCTACCATCATGTATCAAATTAAAATCGCATTTCACATGGCAAAGGTTTTCTTCTGTCTCCAGAGAAGATTATTAATAAGGGAATAAATACAGTATGAACTTCGCAGGTCTTAAGCGTGGCTGGGCATTATCAGCGTTCGTTCTCCTGAGCAAGGTCTTAAATGTGGCCAAGCACATATTTATTCCCATTCATAAATATCTTTTATTCATTTCAGAGAGTCAAATGAAGTCAATGTATGATGGATTTCCAATGATTATGTTCTAAAACTTTATTTTATTTTTCCGAACACCCCCGTCCATTTTATGGTATGTCCTTTTGAAAATTGTCCAATAGGATCCCCTTCAATGAACTTGCCTTGTGCCTGGCGCATCGTGTGCACATGGACCCCTGACTAATCAGACTCGATTAAACCACGGACCATTTACCCAGGGATGTGCAACCGCGAGTGGCCCCAGTGCAAACACATGTACAACCTTGGTTCTATGCGTGTTACAGATTGTTATTACCCCCGCAGGAGCTCTCTCAACTTTCTCGAAAAAACTTGCGACCACATGACACGCGTCATGCAGCATGTACAGTGCAGCCATGGTTATGCTGAGAGGACAAGCCGACGTGGTGCTTAAATCTATTCGTTTTGACAAATAAGTCTTCCTCGTTTATCGATTTGAAGAAGAAATGAAGTTTTAATGAGGCAAAATTCCCAATTTTGTGGTACCCTTTTCTCAGCATGTATAGGATGAAATATCTTGACCAGCATATTTTTAGTGTGAAAAGATGATGGTACTTTCCCATTCAGTGACACTTCTTCTCTGGTGACTTGCAATAACTCCCGCTTGGAGTATGTGAAATCTGGCCTTTTATGTCGGAGAGTTGGATTATGAGCGGACCTAAGAATGAGACCAATCATTCATTTTGGTTCATTTGTCGGTTGACTGGTGGTGCAAGTAGAGGACTGTTTTTCAAATCCTCTTGATAGCAAGAGCATGCTTTCGTCCCTTCGTGTAGGACTCATCAGTTGCAATGTGGGTGATTCCGGAGACGGAATCATACGAACTTGCATGTGGTTCAAGATAAAATTTGTGAGCCAAGAGTGGACATATATTGTAGTGGGGCAGACATATGGTTCAGTGGGAGTGGAAACGGGATTGAAGCCTTTTCCAAAAGCAATCTTTACGGTGTTTGTCAGTGTCGCTTTGGATAGGTTGGTTACGAAGGCTTCAAATTGTTCTGCTAATAGGTTTATCCGGTTGGATTTGGTGATCTTGGCTTTAGTTCAGCATGTTGTGGAGACATAGTTCTTTTTTCCGTTGGCTGTGCGTTCTCTTCCTTAATTTGTGTAGTTTTCCTTCAGCCATTGCTTTGACTTTGGATTGGTAGTAATAAAGGAGTGTCATTCAGGTATATGGTTGTATTCCTCAATTCAATATATGTGGAGCAAAAGTCTTGGGAATACTTGAGGGTTGTGATTATACTCCTTTATTTAGGTCATGTTTATTTAAGACAGCAGTGGCTAGAAATATTCTCTTTTAGAGATGGTAGTCTTGAAAAAGACCGTTTGGTTGGAGGCAAAATTCCAAAATTTTGTGGCACACTTTTCTCAGAATGTATAGGATGAAATATCTTGAGCAGCATATTTTTAGAAAGGATGTACCCTGACTTAAAATATTACAAGAAAACAAAATGGTAGACAGGAATATATGTTTTATTATTAGAGAAAGTGTTACATAATCCAATTTAATTTCTGCTTTGATATTGTGCCAGCCGTAACATGCACTGAACCAGCTCTGAGCTTAAGTTGCACATCCCTGGTATTAAATGGTCCATGATGTGCCAGCATGTGATTTATGGTGGGCATGATAACTTCTCCGTGTGCATTATCAAATGATAATACACAGTCATTTGATGTGTTTCGACCAATAGGAATAGAAAAACTCTCCCAGGTATTTATGAATTTTAGTCAACCATTGGTCTTACTCTAAATAAATATGTTGATCCATAAAGTTGCCTTTTGAGTATTTGTTGACCAACCAACTTTAACACAGTAAATGTTACAGAGCCTGGAAACTGATCTGTGGTGGTGCGCTTCCAGAGCCCTTTAATAGGAAAATTAGCATTTACTGGTATTTGAGTTCATTTTTTTCTTTTATGAAAATCACTGCAGAAGGCCTTTGTAAAAAGTTAATAGTTATTAATCATGGACACTGACGTTAAAGTGAAATACCATGCCAAAAAGTGGCCTCCACTCACTCGTACACAAATGAACATTTACAAAAATTATTTTTGGCATTCATTAGGTGAAAACTGAAAATGAAACAGAAAACCAGTTGTCTTTTTAGTAAGCTTGAAAGATTCATTAGCATTAAAGGAAAAAATTATAAAGTGACTTCTGATAAGAACTGTGCCCTGTGTTAATTTTATGTGGATTTTCTTCTAAGAAGGATATTGCGTGAAAAATGGAACGAATCGTTATCCTGATCCCAGTGTCATGCATGCCAACTTTTCCATCATCAGGTCCTTTCTGATATTTTGTAGTTCTAAAAGACCTAGAAATCAGATGTTCTGTTTTTAGAAGGAATACAAAACTGTCTTGCACACTGCACAACATTTTTGGAAGTTTGCTCATCCCCGATGAACATGTACATGTAGATCCCCAGAGCATGGTGATATCAAAGAACACTAAACATTAGTGATATGCAGTACATGTACTCCTTGGGATTAGGTGTGAAATCATGACTGCACAGGCACGCACTGATGCGCAACTAGATACAAACCACTCAACAGCTGTTTCATTTAAATACATTCACTGCATAAATACACAGTTTCGTCGCACTTGTCCAGTTGCATCTCCATTCACTGATAAAACAGTCGTTGGCATCTACTTGTTTTCACTGTCTGGTTTCCAGACTAAAAGATCCTGATTATGTTTATTATGCATTCCGTGAATTGCAGCAATGAGTGAGACAACACATTTACATTGCACTTTGTGTTGTATTTCTGAGTTTCCAATGTTGGCAGGCGTGCAATGTATCACTGTATCATGTCACTTAGTTTCCTATTAGTTGTAAGTCTGCACGAGCACCATCTTGGAATTACATCTGTCAGAGGATCGCGAAATTTTATTTCTAAAGAGAAGTCTTGGGAAATATCCAATATAATCTTATGCCTATGCTCTCTAATACATTTCAGCCATGCAAGAATAATCGTCATTCATGATGTTCAGTATTGTGCTTCTTACAACAGTCCTCTCTGCTAAATGGAAACCAATGACTACTGGTTTACATGTGGTTATCAAATTGTTGATTTGACTTGTACTTGTATTTGCTGTGTACCACTGTACATTTCACACACGTTGAATGTCTAGCATACATGCACAGTCATTGCTGTTATGATTTTCCAGCTATCAGTCTAATTTCTCTTGGTGCTAGGTTATTTTGCATTATCAAAATGTGGACTACCTGCTTGTTCATCCCTTATGTCCCATTTGCAATTTTTCGATGCTGCTGATACATGCCCTGGTATTTCTAAATCTCAATTTGTTTTCAGGATGTGGAAGTTGAATCTAGCACGCATTACTCCATTGTCAGCCAAAGGACTGCAGCTCCAACAGTTCTGGTAGGACTGTCCTTTCAATCACAATTCTTTACAAAGACAAAAAGTGTTCAGGACAGTGGATGTGCAGAACTAGAGCATGACTGCCTCTTGATCAGAATAAGAAGTGTTCTCTTGGGAAAAATGCACTATTCTCAAATGCTGCCAAATCCAAATCAGAGAACACTGATTTCTTGGAATAGCCATCTTTCTGTTCACAACATTGTCAAAGTCTACTGAAATGCCACTTTCATGTACGCCGTTATTGAGTGACTAATGCACCAGACATTTGATATGCATATTTCCGGAACTACATACTTCTTTTTAGTTTGTTAGGCAAAAAAGTCGAGTTGAGTAAAATATTTATTGCTCAAGTCTATTCGAATCACCAACATATGTACATTATTGTGTATATATGTACAGTAAATAAAAAAAGAGGTCATTTTTTGGCATTTGTAAATTTACCTCTGGGTTTCTACAGTTGGTCACATTGTATCTTACCTTTGACAATAATAACACATGACATGAACATTATAAACCGGCAATTTACATGTAAGTCTTCCATTGTTTTGGGGGGTTTTTTTGGCAAAGAAGTTCGCTTTTATTATTCGGACTCCATGTTCTAGCGCTTCTACCCAAAAGTACCACATCAGTTTTTTTTAATGAGAGTAATCAGTTTAAAGGTCCAACTCTATGTTGTCTTTTAATCCGGTTATGTAGTTACTGCTGATGTCTCAGGTTGACAGGAGTTTGGAAGAAACAGAATGGGTCTTAAATCGCATGAAAGCAGAACTTGTTAGTAGTTCTGATAAAGGTATGTTAGCAGCATAAGTAAATGACAATAGCAAAAATGATATGAGATCACAGACAAAAGAATGCTACATGTATGTACAAGTAAAAACTTCACACCAGAGACATTGCAGGCAAGCAGATGATCAGCGACCATAACTTGTTTTCATTGGCTGAATTGTGTGCTTAATAGGCCAAATGTGTTATTGCAGACAAAAGAAGCCACCTTAAATAGTGGCTGGTTCCATCTATATTCATCTATTCCACGATAATGATGATGCCTTATTGAAATTTAATGTCTACCTTGAGATATACTCTATTTGTGCACCAGGTCAGTTAATGTGACATAAAGTATATCAGGTCACAATTCAAAATTCAGTTTTTACACTTTTTTGAAGATAAGCACCATCAACTTTAAAATATCGTTTAACAAAGATGTTTAATAAAGCCAAGTAGCAGAAGTTTGAAATCAGTTTGATTTGTCACAATGAAGGTTGCAGATGGACTGTCAGTTTTCTTTTTATGATCTGACTTTGAAAACAAAACCCACAACTTGATCTTACATAGTATGGAAGCAATCAGTTCCAAACTGGTTTGACATGAACACCTGCAATTTACATAATTCCACCGTTTGGTTCAGGGGCTCTATTTTCCTGTTTGATTTCTTTGAACAGACAGTGACTTGAGTGAATTGACCCAACAGGAGGACTGTGAGAAGGCCGTGTGTATAAGACTCTGCAGGATAACCAATGCATTTCATGAACTAATCCAATCAGCTATTCCTGTTGGCCCGTGTGTAGATGCCACTCTAAAAGCTGTCACCAGAATGTACACCACCCTCACCCTTTTCTGCAAATATGTGAGCTATTCTATATGTGCCATAACCCATAGAATTGATTTTGATTTAGATAAGTTTAGGTGTTTTGTTTTGAGCCGGTTTGGTATTCCATCAGCACATTCCCAAAATGAAGCACGTCCAAGGTCATTTGAATGCACATGCCCTAAGCGAAAGCATGTGCAAGCTTTGTTTCCATACGATGTTCATCTTACCCAAATAACGTCTACATGTACCCACGCATATTTCCCAAGCACTGTCAGGTCATTTGCTAAAGTTTGATCAACCCTAACATGCCCTGTCTCCATACCACAATGCATAGCAGAGCCACACACATAATTTCCCTCTTTTTTCTGAGCGTCAAAATGAATGGATGTGTAATTTTACACCCTCAAATTCTTCAAGTTTCTGTGCTTTGCTGATTGTTGTTTTATATATTAACTGTGCAGTGTTATGCTGGAGAGCTTTGAGCATAGCTATTTAATGTCTGTTCTTCGCCACCATAAGAGTGAAACTAGCAGACTTGTGGATGTTATGTTTTACTATTCCTCAAGGTGATGCAGCAATATGTAGTTTGCCAAGAAGGGTAGTCTTTCTGTTAATTCCTTTTAGTGGTCAACATTCCTTCCTTTTAGTGGAGAACATGCACCCCTTTACATGTACCTGGGGAGCCTCGGAATATCCATTCATCGTTCAGCACCAAGTGGATTTAGTGATAGAAAAATGAAGAATGGAAGTGACACTGCAAGATCTTTTGTTCATTGGATCTTTCACTCAGTACCCCTTCAGACTGTGAAGACACACTGGACATGAGTGGTCTCTCTTGTGAAACCCAGCTTTACCTACTATAGCAAGATGTGGTACAGGAGCTGAAGTTGTTGTTTATAGCATAACCTGAAGGAGACTCAGGGCATCAGTCCTTCAAGCACTGTATTGCCCCGTCAGAAGTGAAGGCCCCATCTTTCCTCAACTTTCATTCAACTAATTCTTTGTCAAACAAATAAATAATCTTGTGAAGGTGAAGACATGGAAACCTCAATGAGCACTGTGGTATTTGCAGTTTCCAAGGGTAGATTTTGATCACTCTTTATGTGCTCAACAGAAAGACCTCTACCAAGTCAGGTTTCATCGATAAACAAAGGACCAAAATTGACAACCCACTTGCAAAGCTGGACCAGGCTTCTGCTTCAGAATCTAAACAAATGTATTCTCGTCGGAGTACTTGATATGCACTTGTAAGGGAACAGTCACTGGTCATGGATGAACTAGTTAGGCAATACTAGTTATACAGTATACAGATACCTCGACAAAGGACACACACCACTTTTGACCAATTCACTGAGATTTGCTTCTAGTGACCTCCTCCCAACAAACAAATATCTTGGATGCTATGCACATCCCATACAAGGGAGTCAAGGCCAGACTACTACAGGCTCTGCCACTGCTTGAGGAGGGCCCAGTCAGTTCCAAGAAATGTGTAGGCGGAGGCAAAAAAAAAACCCCAAGACACTCAGCCTACAAAAGGTGCTGTCAGTGCCACAGACCATCCAATATCCAAGCATGCATCTAGAACTGAGCCTTTGTCCCAAGGCTCGCTAACCATTTTAAGCCATTTCAGAACCCCACGCACCAATCACAAAGACTGCAGTGGTGAAACCATGGCAGCATTTATCCCAACACTCACGGCCTAATCCCCAGCTGAACAACATGGAATTGAAGGAACAAGCAGCTGACCCTTGATACATAAGGAAAAGTGACAGTGATTGTTCTGCTTCCCTTTTGGTCTCCTGTTCCAAAACCATTTGGGGCCACCTAAGATCTTACATGAGGTTCTGGTAAGAGTTCATGAACATGCCTCCAGAATCTATATTCTGCACAACTGCAACCCCCATCGGAAGGGGAAAGAGCCCAGCTTTGGAAGGTGAAATGCACTCCCTCCTACAGAAGAAAGCTATCACGGCAGTCAGACCAGCAAAAGGGATACCGTGGATTCCTGTCAACCTCCTTTCTAACTCCAAAGAACAACACAGGGGTTCAGCCAGTCATCAACTTTGGTTGCTTTGCTAGTTCATTCACCAACCAAGGTTTAGAATGGACGCACTTTGTGCTTCATGGAATCAGCATGGCTTCGTCTGTACACCTGAAGGATGCCTGGCTACATATCTGGGTCCATCCACAGGATAGTGAATACCTGCAATTCATGTACAAAACTCTAAAGAGTTCTCCAACCTCCCCGTTGGGCTATCCACATTACCAAGGGTTTCTTACTTGAGTGACCTGGGTGGTAACAGTGTGCCTCCTCAAGGAAGAAATCCTTTTTTCAACACTTGAACTGGTTAGTAGGTTGGCAGTCCATAACCAAAACCGCAGAAGCAATGCACCCACTTACGACTCCCTGTAAGCCATAAGAAACCCTACCCATCTCAAAATTCTTCCTTTGTTGGGCAGTCCTTAACCTCACACAGGGCGTACTGTAGCATCCCTGACAAAGGGAGTGCATCATCAATCTTCAGCATTGTATAGAGGTGGTCTTGTCAGTTCAGGCTGTGCCAGCAAGAGGATGGCTACACTAAGTGGGGTTGATGCCAAGCCTTGTGGACTTAAAGTTCCACGGTGCTGTTAACATACTACCATCCCAAGTGGGATCCCAAGCGGGATAGCACGGCCAGTTTTGAAAAAAGTAGGGGCAAAATTTTCAAGCAGAGCTTGTAGTTTCAAATCAAAGCCTTGTTAAAATGTGCTTCATTTAAATGGAATTCCATTAGCATAATTCAATAGATTATTCTCTGAAAAGGAAAAGTTGATCCATTGTTGGTCAAACTTCAATGTTTTTGAGTTCTCTTTTAACCCCTATGCGATGGATGACGGTAAGAGCTGCCGTAAAAATTGAGATCCTCAGCCCGCTTTTCAGCTATTATTCTCGGCCTACACTCAAGCGAATACGGTGAAAGAAGGCATACCGTGGCTCTTGTATATATGGTGATTGCCTTTGTGTGTAGCCCAGAAATGAAAAGACCGAATTTGCATCATAATCACAAGCCTCACAAGAGTCCCCACTTTGAAAAGAGGCAACAGGAATGTGGAAGCGTGAGTAGAGCCGCATGCCACCGAACAATCAGCCTTTTCACTGTGTAATTCAATGCGTGCAGAGCACGCTGGGCCACAAACCGAGAATTTGCGGTTTGGCAGGTGGCCAAGCGAGGCTGCAATTCTTGGAGTCGACTTTCAGAAAAAAGTTCCTGTCGTCAAGGGGTCAAGGACACACAGACATCCAAGCGATAGTGCACCATGTTTGCATGCATGCAAGTGCTCCAATTATTGTGTGGTATACACTTTGTTTCACGTAGATTCACATCTGCAGGTGCACAACCGAAAAGGGAACCAGTTCGTCTCTCACATTGGTGACAATGCTGGTTCCTATTCCAAAAAAGTGCAAAGGACATAGGAGTGCTGAGAACCAGTGACTTTGTCCAGTAACAGAATGTTTACAACTTGCAGCTTTCGCAAAGTTTGAGACAATCAAAACTTTCAGAGCGATTTCTTATTTTCTTTCTTGTGTATGTGTCTTACTGCATTTGTATCTTTATTCCAGTGTCACTACTAATATTTTTCATGGTCACATGCTTTTTCCGTCTGACAATTGCTGAGTTCATGCTACAACTGTCAGTCCAAGTAGATAGCCATGAGCAGTAACGCCACCAATCATGTATCACTTCGCTTTATAAAACTCTTATGATGTATCAAATGTAAAAAATTTCAAAAATCAAAGTTTTTGCCCTAAATCTTTCACATATTTCCATTGCACAGATATCTGGAACCTATATTAATACCAAAGATCATATAGCCCTGAAGGCACAAGATGGATAGCTCTGCCCAAAAGGTGTAATTACCATGGGTGCCATTTGAGCAAGCGATACCCCTGCACGGTTCACAGTAATGCGCTGGTGCACTAGGTGTACGTGCCTGCACTTGCGCCTTTGCATTAATGTGCACTGCGCAGGCATATCGCTTGCTCAAATGGCGCCCATGCCATTAAAACGTTTTACGTGTATTCACAGTGAAGTTCTCCATCTTGCACGCGGTGCTACACGATCTTTGATTAATACTTTGAGCATTCTATCCAATAAAAATGAGAAAGCTATCATTGAAATTAAATGTGCACGAAATGGTGGGAGGCCATACAAGGAAACGAGGTGCTAGTGATGTTGTAAATGTCCATGTCATTAAGGCACTGAGTTACATGTCCCATACATATACATGTGTACAGTTTGAACATACCATACATGTACATGCTGGGATTGTTTAAACTTAGCAGCATGTACATTTACATTGTATGTCACTGCAGCAACTAAGCCCTGAACAACTACTGGCAAAGCAAATGCTTTTTCCAGTCACTAAATCTAAGAGTTTTTCTAAACTTAGGCTTAGGGCTTGCAAGAAACTCGTAATTTTTTAATTCCCTCTTGCCATGATCACCTATTTTATTTCTACTGTACTAAAAAGGGATACCCACTTATGATTAAGCTTAGCCAAACCATGCTTGTACAGTCTGATTACGTTCAGTACTATTGGGTTACCCTACATCTTGAAGTGGCACAAACAGTGCTTGCTCTCATGGACAGGCCACATATCGCCCCTTTCGCATCAACTGAAAATGCCAGAGTAATAGTACTCTGCACCAAATATCCAAACCCCACTAGCATGAGCTACATATGCACTGATGATAGAATGGAGCAGCATGTTTGCCTACACCTTCCCTTCAATATTGTAAATCCTCAGGGTACTAACCAAGATAGAGCAAGAACAATACCACCTTCTTTCTCGACACCTTCTCCAGCCATGACAAGCCTGGTTACCCTGGTTGGCTAGGCTCCTGATCCAGCCAGCATCATCCTGCCTCACCCGCTGGATATACATGTAATCATACAACTGCTGTCGAGGATTCTACATCCAAAACTGGAGTATCTCAGCCTTATGTACATGCTGGCCACATGCAACCAATCAAACCGTCCAGGCGAACCAATCAGCCAAGCAGCCCTCGTGCACATTTGCATGAAACTTGCCTTCTTCCTGGTAGTTGTAATATCAACTTGAGGAAGTGAATTGCAGGTTTGGGTGTGCCTTGTCTCTCTGATAGGACACTTAAAGAACCAGATTCTCACCTTTTACTGCCCCCCCCCAACATCTTTTTCCTTAGCATCCAGTCTCACTCTCAGGTCCTCTCCGACAAGTTCTTATGCACAGTAAAGACCCTAAAGTGGTCCTTTTCACCAACCAAAGAACTCGGAGGAGCTACCCTACTATTTGTGACACTGTTTCATCCTCACTGGTCAGCAGCAGAGCACACTGTAACACACTAGGTAGTGACAGCCATCATATTTGTGAACTTTACTAGCCATCCCCTTCTGATAGACAGGTTTGTGACAGATAAGAGCATACAGTGTTAGGGCTTTGTCCACTTCATGGGCCTTCTTCAAAGGCATACTGACTGCAGACAAATGCAAGGCGGCATATCGGAACACATCCTCCACTTTCTCCTCTTGCTACCTACATGTATAAGATGTCGTACAGTCAGGTGGCATCTCTAGCGGGAAGGTAGGAAGACCCACATCACAAGGTTCCACCTCAACAAGGCATGCCCCCCGAGACAATAAGGACTACCCTTATTGAAACTACAAGGTTTGCATTTTCATCAGTACCCCAGCATCACCAAGTAATAGTGCTGCTTGCATAGGTAGATGCTATTTGGGTAAGATGAACATCATAGACTCCCCTCCCTCACAGCAGTATCCAATTCAGAATACCTACCCAAGTAGCAATCCGCCCACCTCCCAATATGGCTCTGATGCAGGATGAGCGCTTACAAAAAGGAGGGAGATTATGGGCACGGCTTTGTTATGCATTGTGGCAAATAAAAGGCACAGTGCAGTTACTCAAATTTTAGCAAATGGCCTGAGGGCACTAGGGAAATATGCACAGGTAGATGTTATTTGGGTAAGTTTTCTCTAGTAGACTTGTCCTACACTGCTGTGAGAGGATTATTTGACAAAAGTAATATCAAGGTTATACATGTACTGCACATACTATACTTTACTGCCATGTCAGTCAGTGCATGATCACATTTGGGGTAAGCAACATTAGTTGGAATACAAATGGCTAGCTTTCATTTGAAAAAAGCCATTTCATTGTGTTTATGAATAGTTTTATCATTACTTTGGTCTGGGATCGAAATGAGATATTCTGCACATGTACAATGGGTGTATGCCTGCTGTTTCCTTCTTGGGGAAAAAATTGTAATGATCTGCCTTTAGTTTGGCAGAGAAAAAGATTCTTCATTTTCCATAACCTCAATCCTATGAGGACATGTCTTTTTTTTTTTTTCAAACTAATCTCTCCCTACCTACCATAAATAATAATAACAACAGGTTTTATATAGCTAAGATTAAAGCGTTTTCCAATGCAATTTTGGATGGCATTGTTACTGGGAACAAATACTTGTATATTACTTCTTGTACCTTATGTACAATACTTCGCTAAATGAAAAACTATTTTTGTTGTTGAAGCAAAAACCACTTTTAAACTTCTTAAAGTATATATAAATTTGAATTATTTGAAAATAATCATTTGGATTTACACGAATTATTGTCAAACAGACTTTATTTGAAACAGAAGTTATAATTTGCATATATCCTGCTTCCTTGGCTTAGGCAGTCTGCCAAGTCTGAGTGGTAATTCTGTTTCATTGTCTAACTCGATTTCAGCAAGTTACTAGTGTGTGCTTTTCTTTGCTTAGTATCTGGCTGTGTACAGTCAACAAGCCGGCCACATATCTGCAAGGTTTGAAAAACTCATCAAGTCAGTAGCAACACTTCTCACACAACATGCATATGGGATGATCAACTTCATTCAGGTATCAAATTTCAAAAGTGGGAATTTTATCAATTTTATAAATCCTCAAATGTTGAAATAAAGAGAAACAGAAAATTGAAGTAAAGCAACTAAGCATATATGCACAAAAGTAGTGAGGTGTGGCCTAAATTTGCGGGTTCAAGTAATCCGTTTGGAGACTTCATATTAATTCTTTAGCCTTCTTTAGCCTTTTTTGGTCTAAATTACATGCATAATACTGAAATTATTTTGATATAAGAAAGACCTGTAAATACATTTTATTTAGTAACAGACAGTAAAGATACCAACTGGCTTGAATACTTTCCTGGTTTCTCTTGAAATTTGGATTCCTAATTTATGGACTCTGATCTTCATACATTGGCACTCATTGACATATACCTATGGGTAAGACAACCTACATGTCAACGTTTGCATTTCATAGTCATAACTCCTCTCTACCTCAGTTCATATCTTGAAATACTGCGCATGCCAATTTTCAAGTAAGGAGGTTGTGCTGCGTTCATGAGGCACAAACCAAAGATGTGGCCAGACGGTTGTTCCAGACACTATACAAAATTCTTGAACAAATTGTTTGAAAAAAATGAATTTTTGACTTCTTTGTACTTTTCATCCTTCATCTCAGTCCATTAGCGTACCCAGGATCTTATGGATCTTATTCAGTTTTAAATGTACTAGTTTAAAACTGCCCCATCAAACTTTCATTCCTTTACTTAAATTCACTTATGGTAACAAGAAGGTTGCAAGTTTTAACCACTACCAGCGGGGG